GGCGTCTGCTTCGGTGCCCACATGTCTGGGGTTGCTAGAAGTGCCCCTGGCCCAAGGCGCTTTTCGCTCCGTTTTGGAGCCCCTGGGGCCCTCTGGGCCTCGTGAGGGGTGCCCTGGAGGCCGTCTGGGTTCCCCTCAGAATCCGGTGGGTACCTTGGGCCAGGGGTACTTCGAGCAACACCCGAACATGGCTCTCCATCTCAATGGCGGCCCTCGCCGCTGCCGAATGCCCAGCAGTGTCCACAGGAGGCGGCTCCTTGAAGCCTCTGCGCGTCTGCGAGCGAAGTGCCCCTGACCCAGGCTGCTCTGGTTCCCACTTGCTTTGGCTACACGCAAGAGTGCCCCTGGGCAAGAGTGACCTTCGGTGCGCGGCTTTTTGGGGGCCGCGGGGGGACCAAACCTGGGCGCGCGAGCCGCTGTTCCTGCTTCGTTTCCAGCCATCTGGGGACCCATCTTTGCCCGCACCAAAGGCCACTCTGGCGAAAGGTCACTCTTACTTGAGCAGGGACCGACCGTCCCGGCATTCCTATAGTCCTACCACGAAATGTACCCAAAAATGTTCCAAACACAAAAACCATGTTCTTAGAACATAAACCCGATGTGATACATCAAGGCAGTCCCAGCCAGAAATGTTCTGAGAACATTCCGTGGGAGCCACAACAGGTTCTTAGAACATTGCTTCGTAGGGCTAGAGGCACGCCGGGACGCTTCGCCACTGCTTGACTTACGTCTAACTGCTCTCCATGCGATGGCGACCCTTGCCGGCGCTGAGTGCCATGCAGTGGCCACAGGAGCCGGATCCTGGATGCCTCCTCCACGAGCCCTGCGAGCGGCGTGCCCCGGACCCCAAATCTCGGGCGGGGCGCGTGGCCCAGCTTGCAAAATCAGATCGTGAGGCCCGGCCAGGACGAAGAGAAGGAGGACGAGCAAAGCAAAGAACTATCGGACCCAAAGTCTCCCTGAGCTGCGGGACGAAAAAAGATGTGGATCTAAGTGGCTAATGAAAGCGACTTCTCACCGGGAGGGGGCCCTGTAGGCGGGGTGACGTACAAGCCTGGAGACGGCCCCTATGGAGGCACACTCCAGTAGGACGAGGAGGGGGAGGACAAAGAGGGGCACGAGGGATCGAAGAAGGCGGCAGCGAGCTGGCCCCCGGACCCCAAGCGGAGCTCTGAGACTCACATGGTGTGGTGTTGTACCCTGCGGCCCTGCCGGCGACACAGGAGAAATCCCACACGACAGCAAATCGACAATGGGAAAGGAGGAGGAGGAGAAGGAGGAGGACGAGGACGATGAAGTGGAGGAGAAGGCAAACGGCGGCAGCGTTGTTGTGCCCCCCGGTCCCCAGGTTGAGCTCAGGGTCTCACGTTGCGTGGTATCCGCCGATGGCACTGCCAGCCACGCACCAAAAACCAGCACAACAATAAAACACGAAGGAGGAGGAGGAGGAGGAGGAGGAGGAGGAGGAGGAGGAGGAGGAGGAGGAGGAAGAGGAGGACGAGGAGCTGGGGGGTAACGAGCCGCTGCACCAGCGCCGGGTGCTCTGGGCACCTGCACGCAGCCCCTGGGCCCAGGAGAGGGAGGGAGGGCGGCAACCGGGCAAGGCAGGGGGGCAGACGAGCAGGCCGGGGGGGGAGAGGGGCGAGGGGGCACGGCCGCGGGGTGTGCGGGCAGGAGCTACTCACGTGGTGGGAGGGCGGGTGGGAGTAAGCAAGGCGGCCGCCCTCCTGGGTGCAGCTTGACACCTCCCCCTCTCCCCTCCCCTGGGTCTGGAGTGTGCGGGGGGAGGCGTCCGAGGGCTCTTCTTGGCCCAAGATGGCTCCAGTATGACCTAACACCACCTCCAAGATGGCACGATATAGCCCACGAGTGCTCATGCCATCCTTAGATAAGCTTCCAATACGCTGCAAGACCGCCCAGCGCCTCCAACTGGCCACGGAGCCTCCAAAGCACGCCCTCGAGAGGCCCAAACCCTTCCCAAACCTCGAGGAAATCGCTGATAATGGCCGTCTGGCCTTTTCGTCTTCGACTGCCTTCTGAGTCCTCAAGTCGGTTTCAAGATGATGCAAGACAGTCCCAAGAGGAACCCAAGAAGGCTCCAAGACGGCCCCGCCCTCGAGGCGACTTGTCTGCCTCTGACGGAGGGGCGCATTCACGGGCCCACCCCTTTTGTTCGATGGCCTGCACGATGGCCCCCCAAGGCAGGTCCCAAGGGTCCAAAAGAAACCCACAGTAGCCCTCAGAGACCTCCAAGATAGCCCCATGAGGCCTCAAGGAGGCTCCCAGAGCGAATGGCCCGCGAAAGCTTCGATGATTGACTCGTCGTCGTCGTCGTCGTCGTTCCTGCAGATCTTTCTTGGATGGGCTGGTGGGGATACGCGAAACGTCAATCGTCCAATTACCCGCCAGTCCGAACCGTGCAAGAGGGGCTCGCGCCTGAGCTCCCCGCAAAACTGGATGGCCGTCTTTTCTTACCGCCGTGCCACGCGGCGTGCGCGGCTGGAGAACTGATCCCTTGTCAAACTCGGGAGCGGCCAGGAGGGGGGTGTCCGAGGGGGGGTGCAAAAATCATGACCGGCGGCACGTGCGCGGCCCAGCGGGGGGGCCAGGGACGTAATGAAATGAGAAGAGGCGCCATGGAATCTGGGGAGATTCAGGGGGACGTAAGACCCGGGTACAGGGGACTCGGAAATCCCCGACGAGGTCGTCAAAAAAATGACGAGACCGAGCCTGCATTTTGACGAGGCCTCCCGCTGCAGACATCCCACGAAACTCCTACTCGTCAAAATCCGAGTCGCGGTCGTCAAAAAACGATGGCGAACCCGAGTCCTGGCAAACCCGGGTCTTACGCTCCCCCGAGAGATATCATGGCCCCCGCCATGATATCCACCCCCCCTGGTCATCACCCCCCTCTCTGCCGCCCCCGACAAAAACGGGGCCTTCGCTGGACGCCTCCTTCTGAACCTTCGCATCCCGCGCGCACCCTTCCCTGCGCCGCCTCTGCCCGGTGGTCCGCAGACACGGGCTGCTGCGATCCACCCTGGATTTGGCGCGCGGCCGCCAGACCCATGGGCGTGGCTTAATGGGGGGGTCATAAATGGGGGGGTCAGAAACGGTCCCTTTTCGTGCCCCTTTCGGGCCCCTCCAGAGCCCCAGGGGGCTCGTTTAGGTACCGTTTGGGTACCTCTTCGGACCACTCTCGCCGCCCCCCCATGTATGACCCCCCCATTACGCAACGCCCAAGACCCATGGATCGGGGGAGGTCCGGAGGCGCCGCCATGGGGGTCCAGCGCCGATCCGAGAAATCCGCGCGGGACCTCCGGGTTTTTATGCCTGTGCCACTTCTTGTTCCCCTGCTGGAGGCAGGCGGGGTGCTTCTTGGCATGGGCCTCCACTGTGACACGAGAAGACAAAGAAGAGATCTCCGGAGCGTCGGGCCCACGGGGCGCTCGCCCTTCGAGGGGGGGGGGGGGGGCTTCCCGCAGGGGAGGACGGCAGAGCCGCCGGGGGACTCCTCCTCGTGCGGCGGCGGCTCGGCACGGGAGCGCGCGCGCTGCAGCATCGCCGCTACATCCTGGCTCCTCGGATCTTCGCCGCTTCCTCCTCGTCCTCCTCGTCCTCCTCCTCCTCCTCCTCCTCCTCCTCCTCCTCCTCCTCCTCTCCTCTCTCTCCTCCTCCTTTCTCTCTCCTCCTCCTCTCCTCCTCCTCCTGCTCCTCTCTCCTCCTCCTCCTAGTCTGCCTCCTCGTCCTCCATCTCCTCCTCCTCCTCCTCCTCCTCCTCCTCCTCCTCCTCCCAGTCTGCCTCCTCGTCCTCCTCCTCCCTCACTCCTCCCCTCTTAAAAAGGGGGGAAGCGGGTACTGAGGGAATGGGGTCCTGAGGTCCTGGACCCTGGGGCCTTCCCCCAGGACGAGCTCTTCATCTTGAGTCGTTTTCTGGCACTGCCGAGGCCCGCGGAGGGCTCCGAGAGCCTGAAAACGGCGAAAAACCTCAGGACCTGTGACCTCTCCTGGTCTTCCCCCTCCTCCTTCCTGTTCCCACCACCACCCTCCCACCTCCCCCTCCCCCTTTCCCCGACCCCTCCGATCCTTCCCTCCTCCCCCCTCCCTCTCCCCTCCCGCTCCCACCTCCTCCCTCTCCCCCTCCCAACGCCTCCCTCTCCCCTCTCAACTCCTCCCTCTCCCCCTCGCCCCTCCCTCCCCCTCCCCCCCCCCAGCTCATCCCTCTCCCTCCTTCTCCCCCTCCCCCCTCTCTCTCTCCTCCCCCCAAACTCCTCCCCTCCCCGCCTCCCCTTGTCGGCACGCAGGCTCAGAGCACCCCACCGGCGCGGACAAAGGCGCGCACCCGCCCCACCGCCGCCCCGCGCGCGCTGGCGAGCCGCGTGCGCCCACCGTCCAGCAGGAGGCACTCGTGGTCGTCGGAAGCACCGGCGCCCCCGCTCCCGCTCCGCCCCGGGGAGCAAGAGCCGCGGACACCGCCCTCCTGCCCTGCTGGGACGAGGGAGCCGCCACGTGGGATAAGGCCCCCTAGGAAGAGCGGGGGCCTCTCCGAGACGGGGTCGGAGCAGGTGGGGTCGGAGGATCTCGCCGCATCGCCGACACATCGGCGATGCATCGGCGTTGTATCCGTGATGCACTGGCGACGTCGGCGATGCGTCGGCGACGTGGGCGTGGAGAAAATTGAGCCCCACGTCGAGCCGCATCACTGATGCATCGGCGATGCAGCACGATCCTCCGACCCCATCTGCTCCGACCCCATCCAGGAGGTCTAGACTGGAGCTCTTTTCGAAACATTGTTTGGTCGCCTGGGCCCTCTCTGAGCCCTGGGGCCACCAGCAGCACCACTTCGGGATGAAAAACTGGTCCCAAGGGGGCGGGCCCCCGGGTCCAGAGCCAGTTCCCCTCAGGCCTCGTTCCCTTCGTGGCGGAGCAGGGGGGGCAGGGGAGTGGAGTGGAAGAGGTGGCGGGGGAGTGCTCACAAGGAGCGGCTGTGGAGCCAAGGGAGAGGGGAGGGGTTCGAGGCCCCTGCCGCGCAAGTCTTGGGAGGAAGAGGGGAAGGGAAGGGAAGGGAAGGGAGAAGGGAGAGTGGGGGCGGGGCGGGCGGGCGGGAGCGAGCTGGAAGGAGGGAGGGGGGGGGAGGGAGGGCGGGGGAGGAAGGAACGAGGGGAGAGCAGGGGCAGGGAGGAAGGGAGGAGGGAGTGGGGCGGGAGGCAGAGGGGGGCGGGGGAGGAGGAGCCCACGGCAGGGCGGGCGGCGCTGCTCTTCGCTCCCCGCCTGCAGCGCCGCTCGGGCCGCGAGCGCCTCCATCGCGGCCCCGACGGCGCGCAGGTGCCGCGCCTGCTGCTCCGCACCGAGCTCCCTGGGTAGAAGAAGAAAAACGCCATTAACATCAACTTTTGGCGCTCCGCGCGGATTTCTTGGATGTGCGCTGGACCCCCCTCCCTGGCGCGCGGAGCGCGCCAGTTGCGGCGCCGGTGGCGCCGCCAGGAGGGCCCGACGCGGGCCCAAGAAATCCGTGCGGAGCGCCAAAAGTGTATGCGTATGCTGTTTTCTCTTCTTCGACTGGTGCTGGCGGTGGCCGTCTCCTCAGGCATGGGCTCGCCGGCGGTGACAAAGTGGCTGCCGTCGAAGCTGGGCACCTTCTCGCGGATCACGACGGACACCGGGAAGGTTCGGTGGCAACTCATGGGAGCCTCCGATACCATCGTGCTGGCTCATTCGACTCGACGTCGATCGGAGCTTAATCGACGCCAATCGATGCTAAATCGGCGCTCTCTCATCGATCGCCAGACGCCTGCGCTAATGCGCTCTAAAGACCGATTTGCTAGGACAGACAGGGTTTCCATGATTTGCTACCGAAGGAACGGTGAAAGGTGCTCTGCGCGGACACAAACCTTGTGGAATATCGGAGCGGCCTGCATGTACCAGAGGTCGCCAGCCTCGTGCTCGTGGGCGTGCTCGAGCTCGAAGGTGCCATGCTGCCTCACGGCGGGTAGGAAGTCGTTGGCCCCGCGCCTCCTTGTCTCAAAGTATACGCTGGTGCTGGTGGGATCGGCGCGCTTGTGCCATATCTCATGCCTATAACTGCCACCCACGCAATAGCTGACGAGGCTGCTGCCGTGGCTGTGAGCAGTATCCTCTGATGGGTCAGCAAGCAGGTGCGCCCGAATTTGAATCCTGGGGCCATCGAAAAGCCTCGCCACAAAGAAGTGCGCCACCATATTCCGGGTGGGACGAAAGAGCAGGGGGATGGCGAATTATCACGTAACTGTTTTCCTGGCGTCTTGTGGCGCCGGAGACGCCAATGTATCGAGGAAAGCGCCTGGCGGCGGGGCCGAAACCAGCTGCATGCAGAAATTGTCGTTCTCCCCCTTCTCCAGTCCTCCCCCCTTTCGTCCGCCCCGTGTATTGCAATCGATCGGCTTGGCCTCGATCTCGCCGTCAGCAGGCCTGACATAGAGACTGTGCAGACCTGTCGTCCCGCCCTCCTCTCTGCACAGCCGATGCACCAAATCAGCACTGTCTTCGAGATCCTCCGGAAGTAACTTCAGGATGCCGTTGCCGCCTGCGCTGCGAGCGAACAGCTTGTCCTCGAGCGCGCGTGCCGCCGATACCCACCCTGGCACCTCGACGTCTCGCGCCGTGTGCATCCTGGATTGAAGTCGACGCGCGCAGCCGTCCTGGACGAGACGGCCCGCTGTGCGGGCTGTGCGCCGCATGCTACGAGAGACGGAGATGCTGAGCCTCTCTGAACCAGCAGATGTCAAGATATCGAGCGGGCGTCAGTGTGTGGGGGGCTCATCGACGGAAGGGCGACGCACTCTTCCCAGAGCGGCCCAGAATACCCCTCGAACTTCCCCCCGCGCGCCCCAGACATGCCGGACAACGAGGTGCGCGACCCCGCAAAATAGCACGCGAGTCTTGGGTCAGGCATGTCCTCCTGCAGGCGGATTCTGGACGACAAATACAGATACCCCAGAAATGTGTAAAAATAGTAGAAAAATCGACCCCGGACTATTCTTTCACTGGAGGCCTGGAAACGAGCACCAACACCAACACGGGGGTTTTCCCCCACAGGAGGAAGATGATCCTAGATTTCGGTGTTGGTGGTAATATTTCGGTCACCTTGGAAGCCAGAATATTGCCACCATCACCGAGATCGGGATCATCTTTCCTCGGTGGAGGCACGCCGCTGATCTTGGTGGTGGTGTCAACCTCTAGGCCTGCGACACTATTTGCGAATATTTCTCCTGCAGAAGGACATGCCCGACTTAAAACGCGAGTCCTGGGAAGAGCTGGTCTGGGGGTTCCGCGCCGAGCTGGGTCGGCCGAGAGCCCTGCCGCCATCCCCGGGCAGGCTGCGAAGCAGCTCCCGAATGGCCGGGTCCGCGGAGGGACGGCAGGGGGCTGTTCGGCTGCACGCAAGAGTGACCCTGGGTAAGAGTGCCCTTTGGTGCGCGGCTTTTTTCGGGGGAAAACAAACCTACCTCGCTTTTGACCACCCTCGCTTCCAAGAGATACCAAACGATGCCAAATTGCGGCCTGTACTGGTCAGGCCGCTTGACGAGGAGGCGCGTGGTATGGCTTGGTTTTGCCTGGAAGCGAAAGCGGGGGAGGTAATTCACGCTCTGATTTTTGGGGGGCCGCAGGGTGACCAAACACAGGCGCGCAAGACGCTACAGTCGGGGCGTTGACCTAAGGAGCGATAAATAGGGAACGAAATCCCTTTTTTTATCGCAAGGAATAGCGCACAAGGAGCGATGCATAACACATAACGCACAAGGAACTGTAAATAACGCATGCAAACCTGAGGAACGACCGAGCCCCTTTTGAAAAGTAAATGTTCCTTACTCAAGCCGCTCACTGTACCAGCGCATCGATTTCGGCGAGCTGGGAACCCCACTGTGCCCGCACCAAAGGTCACTCCGGCGAAGGGTCACTCTTGCGTCTGGTCGAGTTGTCGGCTCCGCAGGGGCCCCGGGCCGGGTCAGCCGGGAAGGATCGAGGCTCAAAAGGGCGAGGCCGGGGTTCAGAGGTGCACCGCTCAGGGAGGCGGCATCCCAGGGTCCCCCGTGGGGGGCGGTGGATGTGTGTACACGCTCAACGGCGAGGCCGGGGTTCAGAGGTGCACCGCTCAGGGAGGCGGCATCCCAGGGTCCCCCGTGGGGGGCGGTGGATGTGTACACTGCGGCGCATGCCACCTCTTGTGCGCGCTCGAGTGCTCGCCAGCTCGGGCACCGGGGCATGCCGCGGGCGCAGTCCCACGGCCAAAGCAGGGCTGCAGGGCTTCGATTCTGGATCGTGGGGCCATCGTCGGGCCTGGCGGTCGCAGTGCTCCTGGCCCCGGTCCTGGACCATCTCTGATGCGGGCCCGAGGGGGGAGGAGGAATGCGGGGGAGGCAGATGATGAGGAGGAGCGAGTGATGGAGAGCACGAGATGGAAGTGTGGGGAGTGGAAGGACGGACGACATGAGAGAAGGGATGACAGTTTGAGGGGATAGGTGGGGGGGGGGGGGCGTGAGGAGGCCAGTCAGCAGGGCAAACTGGGCCGCCTGTGCAGTCTTGGACCTGTGCAGGTTCTGGTTGGCGCATCCGAACGTCCGTGGGCAGTTCTACTAGAGTATGCGGCAATTTCTGGAGTACAGTGGAGGCCAGTACACAAGAAACCTTCCACAGGAAACCCAACCCTGAGACCCCAGGACGTCCATTGGTTGTCGGTGTGGGAGCGTCACGCTGTCCCCTGGCAAAACCATCGAAACCCAAGAAACCCAGGGCACCCTGGAGGCAAGCAGGGCGTCTCTTGGCATGGGCCTCCACTGTGTGCTTTGGCCCTCCAGGGTGAGCCTCCTCCTCATCCTCGGCCGCCTCCTCCCCCGTCACCACCTCCGCCCTCAAGGCGTCCGCGGGACGTCTTAGAAGTTACACTGGTACGGCAAGACCCAGAAGAACCTCCTTCAAGAACACGAGGCCCCCCGCCGGCCGTGCTGAAGAGCACTCGAGGGTACCCCTCCCCCCAGGATGCACCAGAGCACGCCACGAGCACGAAGAACATCAGGCTACCCTCCCCGAACCAACCTCAATCTTATACCTCGGTCTGGCCGTACGCATTCTGGAGGGTCCCCCTTCTGCCAGCTCGGCAGCTGTGTTAGTTCTGGAGGGGGCAGGGTCAGTCAGCCCGAATCGGTAAATCGGATCGAATCGAAATGTGCGTCGGATCGGGCGTCATGGGCACGGAGTCGAATTCGAATCGGATCGGCCGCGCTAGGATACACAACAGCGCCCTGCAGGCATCGGTCCACGTCGGATCGACGAACCATGGGAATCGAATCGGATCGGGCCGGCCGGAATCGACTTCGAACCGGTTCGATCGGATCGACATGGACCCTGGTAGGGCAGGAGAGGATGGGCGCCGTGGGCAGGCAGGCGTAGCGGCGGAGGGGAGGGGAGGGCGCGAGCTGAGGGGGCTGCTGGTGCAGGGAAGCGCGCTGCTCCAGAGTTTGGCGTTGCGCCAGCGGGTGTGCGGCGAGGGGGGCCAGTCTGCGCGATCCGACAGGGAGGGGGGGCGTCAACATGGACAAACCAGAGGTCTGCATGGACTTCCTGGGCCTGCGGTGGAATCCCCGCCCTCTCGGACGGATGCCGCCCCGCCGCCCGATCCGAACCTGCTTCCAACTGGCCCCCAGATCCCTCCGAGGGCCCCTCCTGGGCAGAGTTTCGAGCTGCGTCCGTCCGCCCCTGGCGACGCGGACTCTCAAAGGAACTGACACACTTGAAGGCCGAAACCATGTACAGTCGGGGCCTTGACCCAAGGAGCCCAAAATAAGGAACGAGGCCCCTTTTTTCCATAAGTTAGACTTCGATTTCCGATCGAAAACATGAGGAAAACCTGAGGCAAGCTGCGAAACACTTCAGGAACGCGGAGCCCCTCCCCAACGAAAAGGGTTCCTTCTTCAGGGCCCCGACTGTACGTCAACCGTTTCGCCGCGCGGGGCTCCCCCCCCCCTGGAACGCGTTGCCCTTCCCGACGATCGCCAGGAACGCGTCCTGGGCCGGCGGCCCGTCGTCCGCCGGGGGCACCGGGGAGTGCACAGAGCGAAGCAGAGAGGGAGAGAACACACACTCGGGGCGCTGACCCAAGGAACCCTAAATAAAGAACGAGGCCCCTTTTCTCCAGAAGTTAAACTTCGATTCCCCATCGAAGACCTTGGGAAAAACCCAAGGCAAGCTGTGAAACAATCAAGGAACACGGAGCCCCTCCCCAACGAAAAGGGTTCCCTCTTCAAGACCCGTACTGTAACAGGATGACTCAGGGCTGGACCTAGACAATGTTTTTGGCGATCTCGTGGGCCGTTTTCGTTTCGACTTCGTTTTGCGGTAAGGGCGGACTCGAGGCAACAACGAGGGAGAACGAAAACAAAACGAAAACGAAAAACGCCGTTTAGGTTCAGCCCTGGGATGACCCGGCTGGATGACGGCTGTGGCTGCGTGGCCTACAAAGGTGAAGATGCGACGGGGCGAGGGGGGAAATAAAAAAGGGGCGGGCCTTTTCAGAAGGCTCGGCAGTTCCGCGGCCTCTTGGGAAGTTTCCTATACCTTCTCCGAAGACAGCGAAAATCTCGGAAGGCGCGAGGGCATCCGAAAAGTCCCGCCGCCTTTTGACGAGGCCTTTCCTTTCTCGCTTCCCCCCGGTGCTCGCCGCCGAAAAAAGGCAGACGGAGGAGAAGAATTATCTGACTGGGCGGACGCTGCACATTGGCACCGGCCACGGACGGAATAATCAAGCACGTTGCATTTTCATGTAAGCGACAGACCCCAAAGAGATACAGATACACGCACAATGCGCAGGCAAGCAACACATTTAGGCATGACCATCATGAAAGAGACAACGATGATACACCAGCGACGCGCACAACCAACATGCGCGCATTCTGTAGATGCAACGCGCCGGCGTGGTAACTACCGACGCACATGACAGACGCACGATGCATGCATAATGGCCAGTTGCGCAGGACATATACACAGACACGCGCAAACATATAGACATGTCGACATTCAAATATGTATGTCTATAGTTGTGATAGGGCCCCAGCGACACCTAACACTTGCCGTGCACTTAGCCCTTCCACGGGCCTCCCACGGGACCTTAAAACCACCCCCGCGGCTGCTTGAAACCATACCCGCGGGACCTTAAACATGACCCCACTGGGACCGTAACTCTAGGCTCCACGGGGCCCAACAATGGCAGCCACGGGACCCTAAAATATCACCCACGGGACCTTCACCAGATCTTGGCCGGGACCTTACATGTGAGCCCCGCGGGGCTGCATATCGGGCGAGCCCGAACCAAAATCGAGACACCTGCGCCGACGGACACAACGGAGGCGCGCGACGCGGCGAATCTAACCACGCCTCCTCCTCCTCCTCACCCTCCTCTTCCTCCTCCTCCTCCTCCTCCTCCTCCTCCTCCTCTTCAGCCTCCTCCACTCCTCCTCCTCCCCACCCTCCTCCTCCTCCTCCTGCTGCTCCTCCTCCTGCTGCTCCTCCTCGCCCGCCCGCCCCCCCCCTCCCACCTTCATCGGCAAACCCCCTGGGCCAAGATGCAACGTTCATTGTTTTTCCTTAGGTTTTGGATAGATTTTGGCGTTTCCACCTTTTCGGCTTCCCGACGCCCCAAGACGGCCCAGGAGGCCCCCAAGATCGCCCCAAGAGGGCCCAAGAGGCCCCCAGGAGGGCCCCAAGACGGCCCAAGAGGGCCCCAAGACGGCGCAAGAGGCCTCCAAGACGGCCCCAGAGGGCCCCTGGCGCGCCCCGATGAGCGGCCCGAGAGGTGGAGCACGAAACAGCATGTCGAGCCCTCGGTCCTGAAGGGCCCCAAGAGGCCCCCAAGAGGCCCCAAGAGGCCCCCAAGAGCCCGCAGGGAGGCCCCCAAGACGGCCCCCAGAGGCCCCCGAGCGGCCCCGAGCCGGCCCCACGAGGCCCCCCGAGCGGCCCCAGGAGGCCCCCGACGCCGCCCATGGCACAACACGGGCCGGCGCAGTGAGCGAAGCGATCCGATAAGATAGAGAGAGGAGAAGGCACAGGCAGGGCTGGGAGAGGACGGGCAGGGGGCAGAAGGCCAGAGAAAAAAACAAACTGGCCCTAGATCCTAGAGTTTGGTATGCGTTGGACGGCTTGACAGGGGTATCTCCGGGGAGGGCGAGGTCGCCTCGGTACCTCAAGGGGGAACTCTGTAAAGCCCACTTGCTCGCCGGGAGGCCTAAAGTTGAGGGCCGGGAGGCCCAAAGTTCAGCGCCGGGAGGCCTAATGTTAAAGACCAGATTGCCTAAAGGTAAGGGCCAGGAGGCCTAACGTTAGGGCCAGAGGCCTAATATTAAGGGCCATGTTGCCTAAAGGTAAGGGCCAGGAGGCCTAACGTTAGGGCCAGGAGGCCTAATGTTAAGGGCCATATTGCCTAAAGATAAGGGCCAGGAGGCCTAACGTTAGGGCCAGGAGGCCTAATGTTCAGGGCCGGGAGGAGAGCCACAATAAGGGCTCGGAAGGCCCCAGGAGTAGGACCAACTAGGGACCCCAGATTAGGTTACCGTGGGACCCTGTTTACATGTATCCATGTATATTCATAGGTGTGCATGTACATGTATATATATATATATACATATGCATATACATATATATGTATATATATATATGCATATACATATACATATATATATATGCATACAGGTGTGTGTACCTGCCATATCTACATATGCTTACTTATGCTACTTACAGCGCGCATGACAAATTCACCGGCCACATGCTCAACGCTTCCTTTGCGGGGACCGTTCGAACGGAGGAGCAGGGGAGCGAAAGGGCTCCCAGGAGCACCGCTGCTCTCCTTCGTGCTGCTACTACTGCCAGGCTGCACATCGCGGCGAAAGCCCGCCCTGCAAGAGGAGACGCAGTGGACGGCCGCAGGAGGAGTACGTGGAAGAGGAGGGTGTGACGGAGGGAAGGGCGCGGAGGAGGAAGCCGGGGTGCACCGGGAGAAGGCGGAGCACCGAGGAGAGTAATGATGAGGGTCGCCGCCCGCATGCTCCCTGGGTCTAGCCCTGATCGGGCCTGCCCCCTTGTCATGAAGATGTTAGTTAGCTCTTGATGCCCAGACTCGCCCCTCTTACGCTTGGCACGGGTCGACTTGTGACTCCTCTGGCCTTCTCAAGTGACGCCTCGTGGATGCCCTCGCTGCCTCTCTCGGGGCTCTCCGACGGACTGCTCCCCACTCGCTGCCCAACGCCGGACACACCGCGGGGAGCCCGCGGGCCTGCGACAACTGCATGCGCTGCGCGCTGCGCGCACGACTCGGAGGACGGTGGGCGTGATCGGAGCGGGCTCCTGGAATGTCGCATAGTGCCAGCGGAGGAAGTCCACGAAGGAGAACAGATCCTGGCCCGCGCAGAACAGGCGATGCGCTCCCGACGCATCGGGGAGGATCTGAACCAGTGGGAGGCGGCCCAATCTGGCACGTGCAGATATGCAAGCGTTGAGGAGATGACCCAGTGGGGGGGGGGGCAGGGGGGAGTCCTTTTCCTCCTCCTCCTTCTCCTCCTGCTCCTGCTCCTCCTCCTCCTCCTGCTCCTGCTCCTGCTCCTGCTGCTCCTGCTGCTCCTGCTGCTCCTCCTCCTTCTCCTCCTCCTCCTCCTCCTCCTTCTCCTCCTCCCCCTCCTGGTCGTCGTCGATGTCTTTCAGGGTCGGCGGCACGGGCCGTCAAGCCTTCACAACATACAAGTGTTGAGGAGATCCGCAGGCGCTATCGCCGGAACTGGGGTCGAAGAGAAAGCTGCCGACGACGGAGGGGACGTTCGGCACCCCGCCCGGCGTGGCACAGCCTAGCCCCCCCAAGGCAGCCCTCGGAAGGCCTCCCAGAACGACGGCTCTTTGGCGGCCCAGGCTCATGGAGCCTGGGGGGGGGCGCCAGCCCCCGTCAGTTCGCCCGATCCGATGGGGGCAGGTGCCAACATCGGCCCAGAGCTTCTCTACGGGGGGGGGGGGAGGAGGGGGGGGGGGGGGGGCGAGGGGTCCCGCCGCAGGGAGACACAGACCATAACAGAAGACGGATGCTGCGCGAGCGGCCCGCTTCAGCACTCCACCGAGATCGGCGCATCCAAGACTACGAGTGCGTGGCGAGGTCGGGCCCAAAGCGGGAGCGGCGAGCCTCAACGACCCATCCAGGCGGCCTCGAGCCCGATCCGGGCGGCCCCTCGCGGGCCCCGGGAGGGCCTCCCAGGGTCGACGGCGCCTCGCCCCAGGGAGGCCCTCCGCGCCCAGAGGCCTCCAAGACTGGGTTTAAAGGTCGGGCGTGTCCCCCTACAGGCGGATTCTGGACGACAAATCAAAAATAGCCCAAAATACCCAAAACGTACTCAACACAATTGAGAAGATCGTCTCCAGACTATTTTTTGTTGATTTTCGAATATTCCTCCTGTAGAGGGACAGGCCCGACTTAACCCTACATGCGGATTCTGGACGAAATTCAAAAAGCATAGCCAAAGCATGTTACCAAAAAGGATCAACAATAGTCAAATAATCGTCCCCAGACTACATACTTGTTTACTATTTTTGGATCTTCCTGCTGTATGAGGGACACGCCCGACTTAAGACTGCGCAAGAGACTTCTGAGACGGCCGAACAACGCACTGCAACAAATACGCGAGAGCTTCCGGAATGCCCTACCAGAAGCCCCGCAGCACTGCCTCGATGGGGCCTCAATGAAGGCACCCCAATACCCTCTCAACATGGCGCGACTTTCCTTCCAACTCCTCCCAAACGTCCCCCCCCTCACTCCCTCACCCCCATCGCGGACAAGGCCAGGCCAGAATCCACGCAAGCAGAGGGGGGGGGCCGGAGGAGAAGCAAGGCGAGAGGGTGGACACACATATATATATATATATATACATATATATATATATGTATATGCACGTCGGTGGCAAGTCCTGCTCATGTCCCGCTCTTCTCCCCCCTCCTTCCCCTCCACCCTTTTCCCTCGTGGTGTGACGCCCCCCTCCCTCTTTCCTCCCCACCCCCGTCCCCGCGGCGCTCCTTGGGGCAGTCGTGCAGGTTGGCGCACCACTGCACCCTATCCTCGTCCGTGTCCATCTGCCAATAGCCTCCCCCTCCGCCCTCCCAAGCGCGCTGAAGCACCCCGAACTGCTACCGCGCCCCTGACCCGCGCCAGCGGCCTCGCGACTCCACTCGTTGCAGCATCACGCGGAACGCTTCAGTCCCCTCGCCCCGCAGCGAGCTCGGGGGAAAAATGGGCAACTGCTGGAGCCGTCAGCTGATCAGCTCGCTGCTTCTTTTCGCACTCAAGAGGCCTCTCAAATGGGGTCGGAGTAGATGGGGTCGGAAGACTGCGCTGCATCGCCGATGCATCGCCGATGCAACGGCGATATATCGCCGATGCAACGGCGAAACATCGGCGATGTCAGCAATGCACCAGCGACGTCGGCGTGAAGTAAGTCGGACTTCACCGCATCTCCGATTCATCGGCGATGCGGCGGAATCCTCAGACCTCCTTCGCAGGCATCGGGCGATGTTATTCTGACAGTGCGCGCCCCCTCCGCAGAGGTCCCGACCGCTCCCTGCGGGGGTGGCTTCTCGTCTGGGACCCGCTGCTGACGGCCCCGGGAGCCCGACAGCAGGCCTCACGGGCGGACATCGAGGAATGCGCTGGGACTCAAACATTACCCTGGCGACGTATCCAACCATTGTGCAATGCGGGGCGTAAGTATATCAGGATTGCTACAACGGGGGCGATGGCGTAACATGGACGCATGTGATTTTGCGAGCAGCAATCGGAAGGCTCGCAGGCCCCCGATCAAGATACACCTTGCTACGTAATAACAAGTCACCCCCGTTGGCTGTGCCATGCGCCCGTTGCGCCTAACGTATCCCGCAGCACCTCTCTCTCTCCAGAGCCCCCCAGGGACGGCGAGGTCTCGCTCAGGTCCCCGCGGTGCCTCACTCCGCTGACCCACCAGCAGCCCTCGAAAGTGGCGACAGTGTCGCAGATCGCAGGCCCCCCATGGACGTCGAGGTCTCGCTCAGGTCCCCGCGGTGCCTCACTCCGCTGGACCCACCAGCAGCCCTCGGAAGTGGCGCCAGTGTCGCAGATCGCAGCCCCCCCCAGGGACGGCGAGGTCCCCGCAGTGCCTCACTCCGCAGGACCCACCAGCAGCCCTCGAAAGTGGCGACAGTGTCGCAGATCGCAGCCACCCCCAAGGACGGTGAGGTCTCGCTCAGGTCCCCGCGGTGCCTCGCTGGACCCACCAGCAGCCCTCGAAGGTGGCGCCAGTGTCGCAGATCGCAGCCCCCCCCCATGGACGGCGAGGTCTCGTTCAGGTCCCCGCGGTGCCTCACTCTGCTGGACCCACCAGCAGCCCTCGAAAGTGGCGCCAGTGTCGCAGATCGCAGGCCCCCCATGGACGTCGAGGTCTCGCTCAGGACCCCGCGGTGCCTCACTCCGCAGGACCCGCCAGCAACCCTCGAAAGTGGCGACAGTGTCGCAGATCGCAGCCCCCCCAGGGACGGCGAGGTCTCGTTCAGGTCCCCGCGGTGCCTCGCTCCGCTGGACCCAGCAGCAACCCTCGAAAGTGGCGACAATGTCGCAGATCGCAGCCCCCCCCAGGGACGGCGAGGTCTCGCTCAAGTCCCCGCGGCGCCTCACTCCGCAGGACCCAGCAGCAGCCCTCGAAAGTGGTGGCAGTGTCGCAGATCGCACCCCCACCCCAAGGACGGCGAGGTCTCGCTCAGGTCCCCGCGGTGCCTCTCCGCTGGACCCAGCAGCATCCCTCGAAAGTGGCGACAGTGTCGCAGATCGCGGCCACCCCCAAGGACGGCGAGGTCTCGCTCAGGTCCCCGCGGTGCCTCTCCGCTGGACCCACCAGCAGCCCTCGAAAGTGGCGACACTGTCGCAGATCGCAGCGCCCCCCCAAGGGACGGCGAGGTCTCGCTCAGGTCCCCGCGGTGCCTCACTCCGCTGGACCCACCAGCAGCCCTCGAAAGTGGCGCCAGTGTCGCAGATCGCAGCCCCCCCCCAGGGACGGCGAGGTCTCGTTCAGGTCCCCGCGGTGCCTTACTCCGCTCGACCCACCAGCATCCCTCGAACGTGGCGACAGTGTCGCAGATCGCGGCCACCCCCAAGGACGGCGAGGTCTCGCTCAGGACCCCGCGGTGCCTCACTCCGCTGGACCCAACAGCAGCCCTCGAAAGTGGCGACAGTGTCGCAGATCGCAGCCCCCCCCCCCCCCAAGGGACGGCGAGGTCTCGCTCAAGTCCCCGCGGTGCCTCGCTCCGCTGGGCCCACCAGCAGCCCTCGAAAGTGGCGACACTGTCGCAGATCGCAGTCCCCAGGGACGGCGAGGTCTCGCTCAAGTGTCCGCGGTGCCTCGCTCCGCAGGACCCACCGGCAGCCCTCGAAAGTGGCGCCAGTGTCGCAGATCGCAGCCCCACAGGGACGGCGAGGTCTCGCTCAAGTCCCCGCGGCGCCTCACTCCGCAGGACCCAGCAGCAGCCCTCGAAAGTGGCGACAGTAGTGTCACAGATCGCAGCCCCTTGGCAAGATGCACACACAAGAGGCACTGCAGCCAGGGTGCACACACATACACACACGAGGTACGCGCAAGGCAAGAGACAAGACGGAAGAGGGAGACAGGAGGCGGGAGGAGGAGGGGGAGAAGGACCAGGGACCGCAGTGCTCTATTCGAAACTAATACCCAACCAAGGATGGTTGGGGAAAAATCAGACCGTCTGACACCTGGGCCTCAGTCCTCCTCCTCCTCCTCCTCCTGCTCCTCCTCCTCCTGCTCCTCGTCCTCCTCCTCCTCCTCCTCCTCCTCCTCCTCCTCCCTTCTTCCTCCTCATTCCTCCTCCTCCTCCTCCTCGTCCATCCTCCTCCTCTTCCTCCTCCTCTTCTGCTCGGCCTGCCCCTCCCCGAAGCCCACAGAGGCCCCCAACACGCTCCCCTGCTTTGTCCACCCAGCCCCGCCGTATGTGTTCGCCATGCGACTCCGGAACTCGATCTTGCGGTCCTCGGGAGAAGAGCCGTACCTCCCCGCGCGCGGCCCGGGCATTCCCCCCCCCGCCTCCCTGCCGCAGCCCTCCGCCTCCCCCCTCTTCCCCCTGTCCCCATCCCTCCACCTCCTCATGCCCTCACTCCTCAGCCCTCCGCCTCCCTCCTCTTCCCCCTGTCCCCACCCCTCCACCTCGTCATGCCCTCACTCCTCCCTCCTAAGACGAAGCCCGGACGAAGATGAATTCTGGTGAGGATAAATCGGGAATCTCTGAGATCCGGCGGCTCTGGAGGATGTATCGAGCGTCGCGGCCTTCTCAGCGCGTTGCGGAACGCTCTGAGAGCGCTCCGTGCCGCTCTGGAACTGATTTATCTTCGTCTTAGCCCCGTCCGACTCATGCCCTCATTCCTCAATCGATCCTCCTCGTCGCACCTTCCGGCGTGTCGGGCACTTCGCCCGATATGCCCTCGCTTGGAAGGACCCGAAAGCTTGGAGAACGAGTGCCGATATCTCACACAGTCGCACGGATGACGCGCGCTCCATGTTCAACATCTGATTATGGCATGCGTCTTCGTTGGAACTTAAAACTTTTAGGGCAATGGCCATTTAAGGGCATTGGGGTGCGGTCATTGTAGGGCCTTGTTTGAACTTGCAGCTTGCAGCGCAATGGTCATTGTAGGGCGTTGTTAGAACTTGCAATTTGCAGTGCAATGGTCATTGTAGGGCAGTGTTGAAACTTACAACTTGCAGTGCAATGGTCACTGTAGGGCATTGTTGGAACTTACAACGTGTAATGCATCTACTACAACTTGTACGGCATTGGTCAATATCACCGGCCTTCGCTGGACGCCACGCCTCTGCGCCACATTGGCAAATTCGATCCCGTCCTCATCAGGGCTGGACCAACGTTGTTGTTCGTTTTATTTCGTTTTGCTCTTCGTTTTGCACCACCTGTTTTCCTGTACATCCCTGCCAAAACGAAAAACAAAACACAGCCGAAGTCCAGCAAAACAGCGTTTAGGTCCAGCCCTGGTCCTCATCCTATGCGTAGCCGTGTATTGTATTTCTGTAGATTCCCCCGCGCGACTCTGGCTTCGCTCAAAGTCCCTATTGGTGGAGGCCTCGCAACAGTGTAACATATACCCATTGGTCGGATGAAGTAGGTAGAACCATGAAGTAGGAAGGCGTGGGAAATACATGGGGTCTCCGCCCGCTCCCTGAAGAGGACGGAAAAGGTGAAGCCACTCGATCACACTGAAGCAAGAAGGCGCCTCCCAAAGCAGGTGGGAATCTGGCAATCCTTCCAGCGACCGACGGGCCACATGTGAACTGCTAGTACGATGGTGACGATAGAACGGGAATCGGATCGCCCGCCCGCGCGAGGCTGTGGGGCCCGCCCGTTCTTCCATAACACCATTGAAGGGGCCCGGGGACGCATAAATAAATATACAAAAATAACAGGATTCCCCATATTTTGTCATATTTTCTGTGTTTTTGTCTTCCCCCCACTTCCTATATTTTTTATATATTTTTCTGGGGAATCGACGATTCATTATGTCTGTGCATTTTTCCCCCTCCTGAATCATCAAGACATCCCAAAGCCGGCATTTTACGCAGGACTGGCGCGCGAGCATCCGCACCTGGCGAGTGGCAGACGCGCGCGCGCGCGCGCTCGCCTCCGATGGCTTGCCGTTGCCGACGCGAGGATGGGCTGCACACGGACGCGAGCGGAACAATCAGTAGGGAGCCAGTTGCGAACCCTACCCCTACCCCCCACGATTTCTGAGGAGGGTGGGGTTCACTTCGTTCGGGATAACCAGAGAACCATGACGCGGCGCTTCGGCGACACTGGCAGCAGAGGAAAAGCAAACGCCACAAGCAGAAACTTGTGGCGCTCCGCGCGGATTGCTTGCATCTGCGCCGGATACCCTCCTTGGCGCGCGGAGCTCGCCAGGAGCGGCACCAGAGGCGCCGCCGGATTTCGGCACACCTTTCACGCGCGCCGTGGCCCCTTCGGGAGCTCCACCGAAAACATCCGCGCATGCGTCTGCCCGACCCGTTTCGGCATACCACCCCTCACACGGTTCGTCTCCCATTCTAGGGAGCTCAACCGGGTCCCTCTGTGGCGCAATTCGCATGCGTCCGCCCGACCCAGTTCGGCATACCCCTCACACGCTTCGTGGCCCCTTAGGGAGCTACACTGAATGCCTCCGTGGCTTAATTCGCAAAATTTTGGCACATCCCTCATACGCTTCGCGGCCCCATAGGGAACTCCATCGAGTGCTTCCATGGCGCAGCTCGATAGTGGCCCGATAGCGCAGCTCGGCACACCCCTCGTTAGTGGCCCGATAGGGAGCTCCACCGAAGATCCCAGCGGCTGCGTTCGCATGGCGCAGCCGCACCCGTTCTGGTACACCCCTTATACGCTTCGAAGCCCGAAAGGGACATCCACCGAAAACGGTACCCACAACGCGGTACCCACAATGGTTGGGTCCTTCGCCCAGATAATTTCCCTTGTGACCTCTAGCTCGTGTTAGAAACACTTCCATGTCTTTGCATGCGCAGGATCAGTACTCGGTTTGGCTCAGAAGAATCCCGCAAGGAACGCAACGTCAGCCCGACACTGACGAGATCCTTGTATCAGAGTGCTGTCATCGTCCGGCTTGATTCTCCTAATTTGATCGGGGCGCCCGACGACCTCGGCCATCGACGTTCGATACTCGAAGCTTGAGTCGGAGGGATGGGAAGGTGGGGTAGGGGCAAAGGTGGGATTTTGCAGAGAAGCGTGGCTCTGAACGGCTCCTGGAAGAAGGTGGCACCCTCCTGATGCACAGGCAGTGCCCAGGGTCCGCCGACCCCCGCGTGCCAGGGGTGGCAAGGCTTGGGAGATACTTGGCTGTCCCTCCTTCCCCCTCCCCCTCCTCTGGGTCCCAAGTGCTGTTCGAGGGGGGGGGGGCGGGGGCCCCTGAGGTTAGAGCGTTTCCTCTTCCACCCCTCCTTCTTCCCCTTCGGGGAGGGGTTTACCCCTCCCCCTACCCCCTCCCCTGGACCTGGACGGGGGGGTCCGCGGGTCGTTGGGGCGTCCAAGATGGCCTCGGCGAGGAAGCCAAAATCATTGATTTACTACGGTTTGGATCCAAAGTGCTGTTCGAGGGGGGGAAGGGGGCGGGGGCCCCTTAGTTCGTCTGCGCTTCTCCTGGGGCTCCTGGAGCCCACGAGGAGGTGCAGCACGGCCCACGAGGGCCCAAACAGAGCGTCAAGATTAATGTTGCTCCCAGCGGTCTTTCGGACCAAATCCCCCCAAAAATGTCGAGCCCCCAGAACAGTGTCGAACAAGTTTCGAACGAGCATCGCCTCCCAGGGCCCGGCACGTGAAAATCCTAAAGTTTCGGTACTTCCGAGTTGCTCGAAATTCTTTCTGGTGGTCAAGGCTAAAGTAGGTTGGAACATCACAAGTCAAGATAGCCCAAGAGAGCGTCGAGCTAGCCCAGGATAGCTCCACGACGGTCCACGATGGTTAGAAGTCGGCCCTGCGATGCCCCGAAGGAGGCCCACAAAGGGCTCCCAAAGGACAGCCGAAGGGGCCTCAAAAGGCACACATCGCCCCACCCCCCTAGGACAGCGTTTTTTTTTTTTTTTTTTTTTTTTTCTTTTTCTTTTTTTTGTTTTTTCTTTTTTTCTCCCCCCTCTTCCATACTCGCCTGTTCCCTCTTGACAGTGCCCAAGATGGCCCCAAAGGGCCCCAAAGATCGTCCCAAGACGGCCCAGGAAGCCCCGAAGAGGGCTTCAAGACGGCCTCAAAGGAGATGGCCCCAGGTGCTCCCAGGACGACCCACAAGAGCAGCAAGAGGGCCCCCAAGGGGGGCCAAAGATGAGGAATACGAATTCAGATTTCGAGCCCTTCCCCCCAAGATGGCTCCAAGAGACCCCCAGAGGCCCCCGAGGCGCCCCGAGGAGGCCCCAAGGGGCCTCCACGGGGCTCCCAAGAAACTCCCAAGGGGCCCTCAAGGAGCCCGGAAAAGCCCCACAGATGCCCCCACAAGCCCCAACCTGGAGGGTCGGAAGAATGGCGTAAGCTTCTTGAACAGATCTGGTCCGGGTGGGGCCAGCTTGGCGTCCCCAACTGTGATCTGGGAAAATCCTGGAACTGTTTGATCTGGAACAGCTCCGGTCTGAGGAAACTGCTGGACGATATCTGCGTGCGGCAGAATGCGATCCAGGAGAGCCAGGATTAGGTCGGGCATGTCCCCCTGCAGGCGGATCTGGGGCGAAACAAAAAAAAACATGCAGAAACAATTGCTCAAACTGACAGTCGAGCATAGTCGACATCATCGTTCCCCAGCTATTCTTCTTGGGCCATGTTTGACTTCTCCTCCTGTAGAGGGACGACCCCGACGTAAAAGCCCAGGCCGCCGAGAGCGCACTCTGGAGTACCTCGGGCACGAGCACGGGCGGCCCGAGCCCGGGGCTGCCCTCGACCCCCCCTCCCCCCGCCCGCGGGCGGCTCGGGGCTCCCCGACCTGTATACCCCACCCTGGGATGCGGCAGGGGCCCGACCACGAGGAGCCTCCCACAGGAAACCCGAGAGGAGAAGGACGAGATGGAGGGAGGTGGAGGAGGAGGAGGAGGAGGAGGAGGAGGAGGAGGAGGAGGTGGAGGAGGAGGAGGAGGAGGAGGAGGAGGAGGAGGGGTCGCCCAAGCCCTTCGAGAAACCCTGCAGGGCCGGCACCGTCCGCGACCACGCCCGCGGCGGCCGCGGCAGGCCTCCACAGGGGGCGTCCGCCCCGGGGTCCGCCGCTGCCGCCGCCGTCGTCGCCGTCGTCGTCGTCGCCGCCGTCGTCGCCGCCCCCGGGGCGTCCATCGATCTTCTTTGGCGTGGGAGCGCCGCGCCCTCCATCGCAGCAGCATCGAACATCCCGAGGAGCCCGGGGCGCCCCGGAGGCGAGCGGGGCGCCTCCTGGCAGGGGCCCCCACCGCGGCCCCACCACCTCCCACGAGACTCTGACCAGGGCTGAACCTGAACGGTGCTTTGCCTTTTCGCTGTTGAAGGGGAACTGTGACACACAAATAAATACACACAAATAAAAATATCCCCCATATTTTCCCATATTTTCTGGGTCCTTGTCTTCCCCCCCACTTCCCATATTTTCCCATATGTTCTAGGAATCGCCGATTAATTGTGTCTGTGTGTTTTTTCCCCTCCTGAGCTGTGTTCTCGCTTTCCCTCATTCTGCTTCCGAGCCGCCTCTGCCGCAAAACGACGCCGAAACGAAAACGGCTCGCCGCGAGATCGCAGAAAAACCAACACCGCTCGGGCCCAGCCCCGACTCCAACCCAGGGCGGCGACCCTCGGGCCGGGCGAAAGGGGGGGGATAGCAAAGGGGGGGAGGAGGAGGAGGAGAAGGAGGAGGAGGAGGAGGAGGAGGAGGAGGAGGAGGAGGAGGAGGAGGAGGGGGATTTTTTGAGAATCGGCGCACGTGGCTGATTCTCCCGGCGCCTCCCGGCGCCGGGAGGCGGCCATGCATCGAGGAATGGGCCCCTCGGTGGGGCCGAAACCAGCTGCACGCAGCAAAGTTCGCCACCCCCCCTTTCCCGATCCCCCCCTGTCGTCCGGCCCGAGCCCCACCACCCCCCCGGCGGTGGACAAACCTCCCTTTACCAAACCTCCCTTTAGCGAAGACGACCCAGGACCGAAACCGACGGACCTGGACCCGCAGCAAAGAAGAGGCCGCGACGCCCCCTCGCGAATCGGAAACGGCCAATTCCTTAATCGACGTGTCAGGGTAGGATTGGGCGCCCGAGTTATCCGGGGTAACTCGGGTCCGGGGTAACTCGGGTTTGGATTCCCGGAAAAGGAACCCGAGTTAGCCCTGACCCGAATTATCCCTGATGATTCGGGGCTCTGGACGCCCGAACTATCCGGGGTAGCTCGGGTCCGGGGTAAGTCGGGTTCGGATTCCCGAAAAACGAACCCGAGTTATCCCTGACCCGAGTTATCCCTGATGATTCGGGGCTCTGAGTAGGAGGTCTGTCCCCCCCCGGACCCCCCCCGACCTGACCTCTGAGGGCGGCGACCCCAGAAGTCCAAACCTCTTGGCGGCCCCGAGGCGGCGAGGGCCCCCCGAGAAGCTGGCCCCCCAAAAAAACCCGCCCCGATTTTTCTTCTTGGGCGGCGCGATCAATGTCTGGGCCGTCCTCCTCCTCCTCCTCCTCCTCCTCCTCCTCCTCCTCAGCCTCCTCCTCCTCCTCCTCCTCCTCCTCCTCCTCCTCCTCCTCCCCCTCCTCAGCCTTCCCCTCCTCCTCCTCCTCCTCCTCCTCCTCCTCCTCCTCCTCCTCCTCCTCTGGCTCTTCCACAACCCGTGCGTGCAGCCGCCGCGCCCCCCCCCCCCTGGCCTCACGGAGAAGATGCCGCCCGTGGGGATCCGGTCCACGGAGCTCCAGGTGCGCGGGACGCCTGGCGCCCCGGTGCCCCCCCGGGAGGGGCCGCCGCCTCTCGGCGGCCACCAACAGGAAAGTTCCGCCCTCCTTTTTTTTGAAGGGGCCCTGGGGAACGCAAAAATCAGTAGACACGAGGAGCAGGATTCTCCATATGCTTTCTGATATGTTCTCTGGGTTCTTGTCGCCCCCCCCCTTCCGACATTTTCCAATGTTTCTTGAGAGTCGACGATACATGGCCTGGGACACGCAAATCAGTAGACACGAGTAGCAGGATTCTCAATATACTTTCTGATATATTCTCTGGGTTTTTGTCGCCCCCCTCCCCCTTCCCATATTTTCCAATGTTTTCTTAGGAATCGACGATTCACGGCCTGGGACACGCAAATCAGTAGACACGAGTAGCAGGATTCTCAATCTACATTTTCCAATGCTTTCGTGGGAATCGACGACGAATGGCGTCTGTGTGGTATTCTCCCTCCTGATTTGGGGGAAGGAAGCGGGGCGAGCGGCAGCTCGACCACGAGGGCGGCCGCGCCCACTGCAGATGCGGTCGGAGGATCTCACCGCATCACCGATACATCGCCGATGCATCGGCGGTACATCACCGGTGCATCGCCGGTGCATCGCCAGTGCATCGGCGATGCATGGGCCATTCAATGGCGACGTCAGTGATGCACCGGCGACGAGGGCGTGGAGGAAATTGGGCCCCACATTGAGCCGCATCGCCGATACATCGCCGACGCAATGCGGCGCGATCGTCCGACCCCATCTACTCCGACCCCATCCAGGAGGACTAGACATTTGTAGAGGCCAAGGGGGGCACAAGCAAATCGGCACAAATACCAGGATTTCGCATATTTCAGTATGTTACCTGGCTGGTCCTCTTCAACTTCAATTTCCCAATTTCAACATATTCCAATGCACATCTACAGTTTGGTATGTTTGTGACGATTTTCCTGCCAAATTCAGTCGAGGGGGACCGGTTCCTGCTTGCACGGTGTACGTAACCATACTCCAATTGTGACCGCACACCGCCCTCCGACGAAACGCAATCCCAACGCATCGCTCTCCTCAATAGAAGAGCAAACGGCATAAACATACACTTTCGGAGGTCCGCGAGGATTTCTTGCATCGGCGCTGAGCACCCCTGGCGGCGCCTCCGGCACCACCCGTAGCGCGCTCCGCGCGCCTGGGAGGCTGTACAGAGCCGAGAGAGGAAATCCGCGCGGACCTCCGACAGCCCCTGCTTCATTCCATCCCTGCAGTCCTTTTCAGCTGTGTTTGATTACCTCCTGCAAGCGGATGTTGGAAGAACAAAACAAAATACTCAAACGTGTCCAACAGAAGACAGAGAGGGCGCGAAACATCGTCCCCAGACTATCGGTTTCACCTATTCTGGAAGACCCTTCCTGTAGAGGGACATGCCCGACTAAAACATCACGAGTGGACGTTTGTGATCGAGGCGCGGGGGCGATGGGGTGCTTGGCTCGTGCCCGCTCCTGTCAGGCCTTCTAAAGGGGGGCCACTCGTCGGCGCGGCCGGACCTCCGCCCCGGAATTCTGGCCGGCTCGCCCTCTCGGGGACGGGGTCCGACACGAGATTTGTTTCAGCCCCTCGGGGGAAGTACCTATATATACATATATATATATAAACATACATACATACATACATGCATGCATGCGTGCATGCATGCATGCATGCATGCATGCATGCATGCATGCATACATGCATACATGCATACATGCATACATGCATACATACATACATACATCCATACATACATACATACATACATACATACATACATGTATGCATATATACATATATACATGCATACATACATGCATGTATGCATACAAACATGTACACATACATACGTACATACATACAGACAGACAGACAGACAGACAGACAGACAGAAAGACAGACAGACAGACAGACAGACAGACAGACAGACAGACAGACAGACATACATACATGCAGGCAGGCATGAATACATACATACATACACACATAACACTAGACACATTTATGCGTACACATATATATATAGATATATATGTGTATGTGTGTATATATGGACTTTCCATCTCTGGCGATCCGTGTCAGGCCCCAGGGTCACGAAAGAGTGCCCTCAGCGGCGAGCGAGGGGCAAGCGAGAAGGAGAAGCTCTTCTCAGTGGGCGGCGAGGCTTCTCAGAAGAAGCCCTCGCGCCTCCTGAGAGAGGCTCGCTCTGCCTGCGGGCAAGGCCCAGAAAACTTCTCGGGAGGCCGGGGCACTTCCGAGACTTCTGAGAAGACCCGTCGGTGTCGACCTTGGCCCCCGTTCATCTTTGAAGGGGCTCCAGGACACACAAATAAATATACACACACACATAAAACTATTCCCCATATGTTTTCTCATATTTTCTGGGTTTCTGCCTTCCCCCCCACTTCCCATATTTTCCCATATTTTCCTGGGGATCGACGATTCATTGTGTCTGTGTGCTTTTTCCCCTCCTGATTCACTGCAGACTGTGTAACTGAGAAGACCCGCCCCTTTCTTCTCAGGCATCCCACCCCCCTCGCTCGCCGCTGAGATGTTGGAGTCCCGAAACGGTGCCGTGACATGCCGTGTGGTGACCTCGAAATCCCCCAAGACCTCACCGCACGGTCCGTCACCGCATGGTCCTGGGACCTCGGAGGCCCCAGTCGCCCGAGACGTCCTCGGAAAACGACCCGAGTCCCAAAACCGTGCGGTGGCCCCGAATCTCGCGTCGGGCGAAAGGGGGGGGGATTGCAAAGGGGGGGGTTGAGCATTGGCTCACGTAGCTGATTTTCCCGGCGCCTCCCGGCGCGGGAGGCGGCTTATGTCTCGAGGAAGGGGCCCCTCGGTGGGGCCGAAACCAGCTGCATGCAGCAAATTTTGTACCCCCCGCTTCCCCAATTCCCCCCTTTCGTCCGGCCCGAGACACCCCCCCCCGGCGGTGGACAAACCTCCCTTTAGTAAACCTCCCTTTAGCGAAAACGACCTAGGACCGAAACCGACGGACCTGGACCCGCAAAAATAACGGCCGCGACGCCCTCTCGCGAATTCGAAAACGGCCAATTCCTTAATTCCTGGTCGTCCGGCCCGAGAATCCCCACTGACTCACCGCACGGTGTGGCCACCGCCCCGTCTGGGGGCCCCCGCGAGAGATGCGCGGGCGGAGGAGCTGCTCCCCCGGGGAAGGGGGCCCAGGCAGGCCTCTGGGGGCGGCGTCCGGGCCGTGGAGGCGCCTCGCGGCCTCGGGGGCTCGGAGGCCTGCAGCACCTCCCCTCCCCTCTCCCCCTCCTGCCCTCCCTCCCCGAGCCTCCCCCCGCCTCCCCCCCAGGAGGAGGAGGAGGAGGAGGAGGAGGAGGAGGAGGAGGAGGAGGAGGAGGAGGAGGAGGAGGAGGAGGAGGAGGGAGGTGGAGGAGGTGGAGAAGGAGGAGGAGGAGGAGAGGGAGGAGGAGGAGGGAGGAGGAGGAGGAGGAGGAGGAGGAGGAGGAGGAGGCCCCCCTCCCCGAGCCCTACCCCCGCCTCCCCCTCCTCCTCTTCTGCCTCCCCCCGCGCCCCCGTCCACGAGCTCGATGCGGCGCCCAACCTGCCAGCATGCTGCTGCGCCTGGTGCAGCTTTGAACACATAGGATGTTTAAACACATAGGATTTCTAATACATGATCAATGTATGAATAACTTTATGCATGAGCTCATCGTTGTTTTTAAACATAAATCCCTGCATTTTTAATACATGATCCGCACGCGGAGCATGTAAAAAAAACGACGCTCTCTGGTGCCGGCTCGGTCTCCCGAGCTGGCTGGGGATGGGCGCCCGGTTGCCCGGCCCGCGCGCCACCCCTCCCCCGCGCCGTCCTCCCTCCCCCCGCGCCGTCCTCTCTCGAGCGGGTCGACCTTGCCGTTGGGGAGCACGAATCGGATGTCCTTCAGGTTGCTCGTGCCCTCCGGTCGGGAGGGAGGCCTCCTCTTCCTCAAAACTACCTCCTCCTCCTCCCTCGCTCCCTCGCTCCTCCTCCCTCGCTCCCTCCCTCCCCCCCGTGCCGCCTTCCTCCTTCCTCCTGCCTCCCCCTTCTCATCCCTCCTCCTTCTCCTCCAAGGGTGTTTGGACGTTTCCTCCTCCCGCCCTGGATTAATTTGCACGGTGCAGCTTGCCCATGGGTCACCCAAGGGCTTTCGTAAACTGTGCCTCTCGCACCATGTCGTCCCGTCCTTCACATCTCGCTTCCTGCTCCATCCATCACCCCTCGCCATCTGCCCTTCCACCAGTGTATTCTCCCACCAGATCTCCTCTTCATCTTCCTTCCTTTTCTCAGACCCCCTTATGTTCAACTCCATGTGTTGCCCCTACAGTGCGGACGCAAAAACCCGCGCGCGAGGTGCACCTGAGGGGAAACCAGGAGCATCCTGAACGCAGCAGCTTCTTCAACCGCTGCGTGAAGTCACCGCGCACCGCGCGGAGCGAAGAAACCCAGGATACCCTGACGACAAGCACTTGGCTTCTCGATGCGCTCCTCCGCTGTACCTGCCTGCCCCGTCTCGGCCTCTCCATCATCCCCTGCGGTCGAGCTCGCCGCCGCCGTCGATGCCCCGAGCGCTGCCTGCCCGGCCCCCACCGCCAAGCAGGAGCACCCCGAAGCCCGCTCGCTCGCGGGCCGGAAGCCCCACGGCCCACGGAACCGCCCGGCCGAGAGAAGCAGTTGGCTCCCGCCACCCCAGTTCCCTCAATGGAGATGAACCTTTGTATCAGGGGGGCGTAAGACCCGGGTACAAGGGACTCGGAAATCCCCGACGAGGTCGTCAAAAAAATGACGAGGTCGAGCCTGCATTTTGACGAGGCCTCCCGCTGCAGACACCTAACGAAACTCCTACTCGTCAAAATCCGAGTCGAGGTCGTCAAAAAACTATGGCGAACCCGAGTCCTGGCAAACCCGGATCTTACGCTCCCCCGATTGTAGGGGCCTGTGAATAGGGAGCTTAGAGAGAGGGTGTATTCCAACATCGTTGATGGCTCTTCGGTTTACATTGGTCCTCCTCCTCCTCCTCCTCCTCCTCCTCCGCCTCCTCCTCTTCCTCCTCGTCCTACTCCTCCTATTCCCCCCCATCTCCCTCGAACCCCTTCTACCCGTTCTGACAGCACGTGCCCAACCGCGCCCGCGGATCCAACAGGGTGGCGATCAGACTGCGCCATCCAGAGCAGTCGGCTTGGCCCAGAAGAGCCCTGCATGGGACGAAACGCTGGCCCGGTGATGACTGAGCAGCAGGCAGTCTCAGCTTGCCTGGATCCTGTGCCCACTTGGCCCGAGCACGGGTGGGCGGAGGGGCGGAGCGGCCGCAGAGGCGGCTGCCGAGCGGGGCAGGCGGGCGCGCGCCTCCTTGTCGGCCAGGTTGAACAGGAGGTTGGCGGCGAGCCGGTGGTCCCGCCGGTGGAAGTGGAACTCGAACTCGGTCTGACCGGCGGCGACGACAAGGGGCGAAGAGCCCAGGGGCGGGCCTGACCCTCACTCTCGCCCGGGAGCCTGGTCGGAAGCATAGCTCGTCGGCGCCCGTGGATATTCGCAGCAGGCATCTATCCACCACCACCGTGCCAGGCCAGGGCCAGCCTGGGCCCCAGGATGGTGTATACGCCCTCCTGGCCGAGGCCAAGAGGGCCTATGCACCATCCTGGGGCCCAGGATGGCCCTGGCCTGGCACGGTGGTGGTGGATAGATGCCTTCGTCGGAGGATACATGTACTGCTCTCCCCTGGGCTATTCGCCCCTGTCGTCGGGCCGCCGCAGGGGCCGCCGGCGACGCCCCCGCCGCCGAGCCGCGAGGCCGCCGGCTATTCGCCCCTGTCGTCGGGCGGCGCGGCCGCCGCGGGGGCCGCCAGCGACGCCCCCGCCGCCGAGCCGCGCGGCCGCCGCGGGGGCTCCGCCGCGCTGCCCGGGGGCCCGCAGCGGGGCTCCGCGGCCCGGGCGCCCGCGCGCCCCCAAGCAGGCGCCCTCGCACGCCCTCTCTCGCCCGCGGCTGCGCTGCCCTCGCGCCCCGCCCCTCGCGCCGCCCGCTCCTCGCCCCCCCCCGCTGCCAGAAAGAGGAAGGGGCAGAAGCATGCCACATTCAGCTGATGGCGCTCCGCGCGGATTTCTCGGATCCGCGCTGGGCCCTCCTCCCTGGCGCGCCTCCGGCGTTAGGGGCGGCGCCGGAAGTGCCGCCAAGGGGCCCCAGATCCAAACAATCCGCGCGGAACCCCAAACATTTGTTTATCCAGTTTTCTTGTTCGACCCCCCCCCGCGCCGTCCCCGACCCCCGACGTCGCGACATGTTTTCCAGCGCCGGCCCCCAGAGGTCTGGGCCCCATCCCCAGGGTCGATTTCTCGTTCCGCGCCGTTTCTTGACGGCCCTGGGCCTGGCAAGGGGACCCCCAGAGGCCGAAAATTAACCTCCCGTCGCGATTTCTGCATTGCGCGAAGAAAAGGAGGAGGGGGAGGACGAGGAGGAGGAGGAGGAGGAGGGGGAGGAGGAGGAGGAGGAGGAAGAAGAAGAGAAGGAGGAGGAGGAGGAGGAGGAGGAGGAGGAGGAGGAACAGGAGGAAAAGGAAAAGGAAGAGGAGGAGGACAGGAATAGGAGGAGGATGCTTAGGCTTAGGCTTAGCGAGTGATTGCTTCACGAAAGCAGCGCCAGGGGGGAAGCGCGCTACAGCGCGGTTGTCCTCAGGATCAGAAGTGTCATTGTGCTTCACCCTGAACGAGAAAACTCCTCAATCTGTGTTTGCCAAAATGTTTTGTTGCGAGCTGTGGCCTGCCAGTCGCCGTGCCGGAAGAACTTGTCCAGGCGGGGTTCCCACCTCCAGAAATGGACCTAGCGACCATGCATATGGTTGCCCCCGTTCCGCGCGGCACTCTGCCTGATAAATTTGGAATCTCTTTGTTGCAAGACCCTGCGACTGACCCTGTCGCGGTCGAAGTCGCCCAGGCGTGCAATATGACCACCCCGTGCGAATTCGCGCTCAAGATAAACATTGCTCCATTCTTGGAAACCGTACTGCTCGTTCGCTCGCTTGATGTTCTGCCCAATTCGCTCCATGAATGCTTCGGTCGTCTCCGCCAGGCGGTTCTGTGACGGCATACATCTTCCTGAGCATCGCCTGCTGTGCCCCCCGCAACGCAAAGGCCTGTTCGGCGGTCAGAATCCTGCTTCCGCCGCACCAGAACAATGAAGTGGAGACATGAGAACGAAGAAGTTTCATTCGCGCCTGGATCGGCGCCTCCGGCTACAACGCATGTTTTTGTAATCGTAGAAAGCTCTCCAAGCCTTGGACGCTCTGTTCTGTAGCTCCACCTCGTCTGAGTTATCGAACGTAGCGATAGCCCCGAGCACCTTGGAACCCTCGTTCCGCGCAGCTCGCCGCAAACTCGCGCGGCGCGCGCTCGCCTGCCCGGGTGCGTCGCCACTCTGCGTCGAACGTCGCGCGGTTTCGTCCAGCGGCGCGGCCCAGCCTGCTTCGGCGAGGATGTCCAACCAAGCTGGCGCCAGATCCCCCAACTGCTTGCGGCCGGATGCAGGGGTCCAGCGGGTGTCTGCAAACAGCACCAGGGCCACGCGAACACCTCCGCCCAGATACAAACCCACCCCCTGCTCTCAGCAAGTCTGCAAAAATGCGTGGCCAGTATGACCAAGGCGACGTTGAAGAGGAAAGGGTGCGCAAGGTCCCCTCTAAGCAGCGACAGAGTCCGTCTGACTCGCTTCGGCGCGATCTCTTCGCTCAAATTGAACGCGGATCCGCTTGTCCCCAGCAGCTCGCGGAGCCGCGCGGCAAAAGAGATCTTCGGCGCCCCTGTCGCGGGCATGCCGGCCGGAACGGCCGAGCGGCGCGCGCGGCCGTGCGCCTGGAGAGGGTTCCCGCCCAACAACGCACGTTGGTCCCATTCGATTACCTGCTCCACGCAACTCCGCAAATTGCACGCTACTTCGCGCGCCTGGCGGCGCTGTCTGAAGGCGAACTGCGGCGTCGAGGCGGCGCGCGGCCATGCGGCGCGCGGAAGTGCAATTTGCGCCCCGCGGGCAGAACCGCGATGGGCCGGAAACCCCGCGCCCTGCGCTGGAAACCCGTGCTCAGAAGCCACCCGACGACGCGATCGCCCCACGATTCATCTCCGCTGCAAGTCCCCGCGCGGAGCAGCCTGTCGCGGAATAGTCGTGCCGGCCGCGCCGTGGCGTCGTCGAAGTCCATCGACATCTCCTCTACTAGATTGCCACTTGCGCGCGTCTTCTTACGGCCCGCATGCGCCAGCTCTCGCCGCGCCAAGGCGCCGGCGAGCGCGGGGCGCGCGCAGGTCTTCAGGTCCCCAAGAAGCACCTAATTATCGGAGGCGGCAGAGGCCCCCCAGCCGGGTCTTCGATGAGCTCGCGAGAGACATGTGCCAGCATCTGTGGCGCGCCGTCAACTGCGTTTACTTTCTGCGCCTGCCCTCCAGCGACGTCGGAGCATGGGGGCGGAGTGCTGGCGGCGCGCGGCCTCGTCGGAGTTGCCGGGCTGCCGACGCCGCTCGCGATCTGCTCGAGCCGCGAAGCTCGCGCCCTTCGACGGAGTCGCCAGCGGGCGCGGCACGCCGCCAAAGACATGCGCCGAGCGCGATCTCGCGATTCCTCGTGACTGCGCCGCTGCGCCGAAGATCTGCGGAGCGCCGCGCCCGGGCCCGAATCCGCGAAACGCCCCCGTCTGCTGTGGCCCGCCGCCGCGCTTGGTCGCCGCGTTGACCGCGATGCGCGAGGCTATAGATCAGGCGGGTTCTGTAAATCCAGCGCGGCAGCCCCTCGCATTGCGCCGATCAGGCGGGCTTCCGCCCCCCGCGGCGGCGTCGCGCGCGGCGAGGCCCAGCGCCGGTGGCGTCGAATGCCGTCGCCGCCTTTGCGCGCCGCGGCGCCGGCGCAATCGCCGCCACGGCCCTTCGCCCGCCCCACGTGCACTCGCTGTTTTCTTCCCGCGCCTGCTTCTGCGAGCGCCTCGCCAAACCGACCAGAGTGACTCTGACGTCTCTTTCGGGCGGGGGGGCTGGAACATCCTGGCGCGGGCTCCGATCGCGCGTCTGGAAGCCGCCGTGCATCGCAACGAAGTCGCCCTTGTTCGCTCGCGGCGCCCCTGAGACAGGGCGCCCGCCCGACGCCCGCAGCAGACATTCAATCAACCCCGCAAGCTCCGCCGCGTTGTCGGCGCGGATTGCTGCCCCCGCGAAGCGGGCGCCATCTGACTTCGCCTCCGCGGGCCCGAGCCCTGCGAGGGTGGCCTCCGCTTGCGACCCCAGTTCGGGGCCAATGCCGAAAACTGGAGAACCCCGCCCCGATGCGACTGTCCGCCGCCGCCGGGCAGCGCGCGAACCGTCAGCGCAAACGCGCAGAGCCTGAAGGACATCGCTGCCGCCCGCGCGGAATTCCTGAATGTTCGCGCGCGTGGGAGTTGCAATTCGCATCCTAGATCGCCCATCCAATGCTTTTTTTTGGGGGGGGGCGCGCGTTCTGGGAGTCGCGGTCGTTGCCGCGACTGCCGGGGACGCGCTCCCTTATGGTAGTAGTCGCCAGCGGCCTGCGGTCCGTCACCGTCGCCGTTGAAACGTGCGCCCTGCATTTTGCGCGGCTCCTCGGAGGGAGGTCCGAACCCAAATTACCGTAGAATCAATAGATTGGGGTTCGTGCTTGCAGAAGTAGTCGCACGTATAGGCCCCCTCGGGGTCGCGCTCCAACAGCATTGAGGACGCGCTTCTGAGCTTATATACATAATCGGGCGACAAAAACAACTCCCCTTTCTCATGCCGTCCGGTCTCTGCAGAATCAGCCAGAATACGTCGTTCGCCAGGCCCATGTGGCCCCGGCGCGTCCTGAACGTCCACTCCTATCACTGCGTATCGTCCCGTGGGTACATTGACGCGCGAAATCTCGAGATCGTCGAGGCCTGACTCGTAATTCCAATGCTGGGGCCCTGGAGGCAAGTGAGAGCTCACCGCCCGGAAGTTCCACCCCTGCCAGTCCAAGTCCAAGCAGCGAGATCTCACCAACATTCGACTAGAGCCCGGCCAAATCAAATGCGCCACCCGGGCGTGCACGACGACCCCGCGCGCCCCTGCCCCAATCCTGGAGGCTGCGCAAACACCGCGTGGCCGTCGGGGGTCTATGCGAATTCGTTGCTAGTGATGATGAAGCTGAACTCCTGGAGCAGGAGTACATTCCAAGGTGGCTCTGTCTCCGACTGCCGGCAGAAATCGTCTCCATCGCTGCCCGCGATGCCCGAGACAGCCCGGATCCATGCCGGCATTGTTCGTTGATCGCCTGGCGGTCCCTCCCGAATTCGAAATTCAACCCCGAGGAGGCCGCCGTGTCCGCGACGTGCAGGGTGAGGGAGTCCCGCTTGCGGTCTAGAAGCGGTCGATGCTCCCGGCAGCCGGCTCGTGCCAGACGACGCCCTTGTCCCAGTCGCCGTCGATGCATGTCTTGGGCCCGTCCTAGTCCACATGTTGTCCACCACGTGACCCCTGAGTACGTTGACCGCCTGGGACACGCTCTTCCCGATGCTCCTCTCCTCCCTCGTCCTGTCGATCCAATGCGAAAGGCGCCTCCCGCTGAACTCGAAGATCGGCCCGTTGTACTTGTTGAGAAATTCCCACCTGCTGTCGGGCGTAGGGGAACTGATGAAGCCCACCTGGGATAGTTCGGCGGATGCCGATGCCCTCGGAATCGGGTCGCACTCCTTCGCGATGTCGCTCAGTCTGAGTTCCACCTCAGTTCCTTCGCGATCTCCACAAAGCCGCCCACGATCACCTTGGTGCGCTTGTTCATGGGGACGGAGCTGCCGTTGACGAAGCGGCTGTTCTTCTGAGTCTAAGTAACCTTCAGCTGTTGAACTTCATGTTCGAGGGCTTCGAGGCGTGTCCCATGATTTGCGACCTCGTTTTTTATGTTTTTGTTTCTTCTTTTTTAAAACAAAAACAGTGACCTGCATGGTTGCGTCCTTGGTGTGCATGTAGTTAGTCATGTTCGTTTCGACGGACTCTATCTTCTCGTTTACAATTTTGTTAATGGTTGCGCCGATGAATTGGGCTTCCGTGATGGATTGGCATTCCCGCGGCTCCGCGATCGCTCGCACGAGTAATTGTCCTTCGTCTTGCCGCAATATTGACGGAACACGGCGGCCGCAATCAGTTGGGCCCGGGCACGCTCGAATCGGTCGAAAACACGCGCGGGGAATTTCACGGGTGCTGGACAGCGGACTTGAGGATCCCCCCCTGAGCCAAAGATGAAGAGGAGGAGGAGGAAGAGGAGGAGGAGGAAGAGGAGGAGCAGGAGGAGGAGCAGGAGCAGGAGGAGGAGGAGGAGGAGGAGGAGGAGGAGGAGGAGGAGGAGGATGGAGGGGAGGAGGAGGAGGAAGGAGGAGGAGGATGGATGATGATGATGATGATGATGATGATGATGATGATGATGATGAGGAGGAGGAGGAGGAGGAGGAGGAGGAGGAGGAGGGGGAGGAGGAGAGGAAGAGGAGGAGGAGGAGGAGGAGGAGGAGGAGGACGAGGAGGAGAAGGAGGACGAGAGGAGGAGAGGGAGGAGGAGGAGGAGGCGGCGCGAGGAGGGGGCGGGGGGACCCCCCCTCCTCTTCCGTCGCGCCGCCCTCTCGCGCGCGGCGCTGCCCCCTCAACCCTCTCGCGCCGCCCCCCCCTTCGGGCTCCTCGCCCCCCCCCGCGTGCGCCGCCTCGCGCGCTCGCACCCCTGCTCGCGCGCTCGGGGTGGGTGGGCGGCGCCAGGCCCAGGACCGAGGCAGGAGAGGGGGCTCTCTGGGGCAGGCTGCTTCTCTGGGCAAGCCCTCCTCCCCTTCCTCCCTCCTCTACCCCCTCCCCCTCCCCCTCTCCCTCCCCCTCCTCCCGTCCTCCGCTGTCGCCCCCCCCCCCCCCCTGCACCAAGCCAGGACGAGGATTACATCGGGTGGGGATAGATCGAGAATCTCTGAGATCCGGCGGCTCTGGAAGATGTCTCGCGGGCGCCGCGGCCTTCTCAGAGCGCTCCGGAACACTCTGAGAGCGTTCCGGAACGCTCTGGAACGGATTTATCCCAGTCCTATAGCCCCGTCTGATTGGGGTCGGAGGAAACGGGAGCGTCAGCAAAAACAAGGTTGAGCGACTCGGCTCACGCGGCTAGCTTCCCCGGCGCTTTCCTTTGCCGGAGGCGCTCACGCATCGAGGCGAGTGCCTGGCAACGCGGCCAAGACCAGCCGCACGATGCAGCCGAGTTCGCACCCCCAGCTGACCTGGGGTCAGCGCTAAGCCTGGTCAGCCAGGGCAAGGTCGCTGACCCCGTCTGGCCATGAAGCAGCTCGCAAAACCGGGTCAGCGGAGGGCGGAGAGGGGTGTTCGGCTCCAGGTGGCTTCTCATTCAGCGCGGATCGGCTGATCCGTTGCCGCTGACCCCAAACACGTGCGCCCCGAATCGTTCGACGACTGAGACTTTCATCGGCGGCGAGCGAGGGGGGGAGTGAAAAGGAGAAGGCCTTCTCAGAAGGCGGCGGGACTTGTCAGAAGCCCTCGCGCCCTCTGAGAAGTTTTGTTATTCTCAGAAGACAGGGGGACTTCCGAACCTTCTGCTGAGAAGGCATTCCTACTCCAGGCTCGCCGCCGAACAAAACGAAGCCAACACGCACCGCGCAGGCCCAGCGCCACCTGAGCGCCTCGGGTCCGCCGAAGGGGGGTGGCGAGAAGGAAAGGGCAGGTGCGCCTCACGGCACGAGAAAGATGCGCGCGGGCGGGGGCGGGCCAGGGAACGTGCGGAAAGAAGGGGGGCCATGAAATCGCCGAGGTTTCATTGACCGGCTTCAGAGGGGCCCAGGAACACACACACAAATAAACACCCACACACGCACGAATCCCATGGGGATGGAGGAGGAGGAGCAGGAGGAGGAGGAGGAGGAGGAGGAGGAGGAGGAGGAGGAGGAGGAGGAGGAAGAGAGGGAAGGCGCACGGGGCTCGCTGGCCCTCCGAGGCGGCGCCCCAGGACGCAGGGCCCACGGGGGCCGTCCTCCTTTCTGGCGTTGGCCAAGCAGTCGGTTCTGGAGCGCTCTCCAACGGACTTGTCCTCGTCCTGGCCCCGCCCGGTGACTCCGTCCGTAGGGCGGCCGGCCATCTGCGCGTCGGGTTGCGTCACACAGAACGATGCTGCTGTTTCTCCCGCTGCTCCCTACAATCCGATTGCGTTCGGTGGTCAATGGTGGTGCTCCCGCTGGCAGCATGGGCCTCATTTTCGCATCGACGCTTTGCTCCTGTCGTTCACGGTGGCGCTCTCGCCCCAGCGTGGGCCACCTCTGGATTGGGCGCCCGAGTTATCCGGGGTAACTCGGGTCCGGGGTAACGCGGGTTTGGATTCCCGAAAACGAACCCGAATTAGCCCTGACCCGAATTACCCCTGATGAATTGGGGCTCTGGACGCCCGAGTTATCCGGGGTAACTCGGGCCCAGGGCAACTCGGGTTCGGAATCCCGGAAAGCGAACCCGAGTTAGCCCTGACCCGAGTTACCCCTGATGATTCGGGGCTATGACTGGACCCGAAACCCTTTTCGTCGTTGTCGCCCCCCTCCCTCGCTTCTCCTCCGCTGCCTTCCCCTGGTCCTCCTGCTCCTCCCGCTCCTTCCGCTTCCACGCCAATTCCTGCTGCTGCCGTTCGTCCTCGTCCTCCTCCTTCCTCCTCCTCCTCCTCCGTTGTCTCCTGCTCACACGCCACCTCCTCCTCCTCCTCCTCCGCCTCCTCCTCCTCCTCCGCCTCCTCCTCCTCCTCCTCCTCCTCCTCCTCCTCCTCCTCCTCCTCCTCCTCCTATGTACGCAAGTCCCCTTTCCCGATTGTGCGTAACACGATAAGTGGGCTTGTCCTTGGAGTTCCAGGTCGGCTTTGACACGCGTCCGCGGATAGAGCACAAAAACCGCGTACGTAATGGGAAGGGATTTGAGGTAGGGGAGGGGCAGGATGACAGATTTTGTCGCGAGCGCACCGGGCTTGTCCGGCTCTCTCTCTCTCTCTCTCTCTCCCTTCTCTTCGCCTGTCTTCTCTTCTCCTCTCTTCTCCTCCCCTTTCGCTGCTTGGGGCCTCCCCCCTTCGTCGCGCTGGAACGGGGGAAGACGGGGGAACGCAGCACCCAGCCTCCTACCCCCCCCTCCCTCTGTTTCTCCCTCCTCCTTTTCCAGCACATGCCATGTCTATCCTCGTCCATGCCCTCCTCCTCCTTCCTCCTGTTCCTGGTCATCATCACCCTCGTCCTCGTCCGCGTCCTCGTCCTCGTCCTCGTCCTCGTCCTCGTCCTCCTCCGCCTCCTCCTCCTCCGCCTCCTCCTCCTCCTCCTCCTCCTCCTCCTACGTCTTCCACTCTGTCCCCCTGCATCCTCCTCCTGCTGCTGCTACGGCTCCTCCTCGCCCACCTCCACTATGACAACCTCCCCTCTCATCCATCCTCCATCCTCCTCTCCCCTCCCCCTCCTCCAGCAGCCTCTCGCCCTCCTCCCTCCTCCTCCCCCCCTCCTCCTCCCTTCCTCCCTCCTCCTCCTCGTCCTCCTCGTCCTCCTCCTCCTCCTCCTCCTCCCCCTCCTCCTCCTCCTCCTCCTCCTCCTCCTCCTCCCTCCTCCTCCTCCATGCTCCTCCCCCCCATCCCCCCCCCCTACCCTTTTGTTCCCTCCCCCTCCCTCCCTTCTCCCGCCCTCTGACCACCCGCACGGCAGTCCTGCTCGGGCTGCACGAAGGGGAAGCACGGCAGGCTGCCTCCCCGCCGCTCCACTTCGGACGCCCCGCCCCCGCGGCGCCGGCGCCGCGCCCCGCGGGGAGGCGACCGCCGAGCCGCCGGAGCGGCCCAGGGCGCTCGGCGCCGCCAGGCAGGAGAGCCGAGCATCGAGTCCTCCTCCTCCTCCTCCTCCTCCTCCTCCTCCTCCTCGGCAGGTCGGCGCGGCAATCGAAAGCTGTCGGATCGGCGGAAATCGGCAGCCGAGTCGGGAGGAGCCGAGTCGGCAGACATCGGCAGGCTGGTACGCCCCCAGCAGGAACCGAAGCCCAGATCGGAGTCCCAGGTCGAATCGAATCGGAATCGGAGCCCCTCGAAGCCGAGTCGGATCGAATCGGAGGAATCGAAGCGAGCCCTGGCCAGGTCCCAGACCCGGGGGCGCGCGCGGAGCAGCAGACCACCCCAGCGCAACCCGAAGACCCGACTTTCGAGGTGTGGTGGGGGGGGGGGGGGTTACGGGTCCCATGTTTTTTGTCCCACGTTCTTGTTTCTTGTGGCATCTTCGAGCCCAGTCAGAACAGGGCGCAGCCGGACTTGCACAGAGGAGGAAAGGAGGAGGAGGAGGAGGAGGAGGAGGAGGAGGAGGAGGAGGAGGAGGAGGAGGAGGAAAGGTGTCCCACGTTCCCTGACGCCCCCCCCCTCCACTGGAAATGCAAGGCACGTTGAGGCCCTCGGGTTGGTTTTGGGGGAGGCTTGGCGGGCGGTGACAACCTGACGCCGCCCGGATAAAGCAGGGGTCGGGTATCCTTCGACCGGCGATGACGGGCCTCCTCCTTTCGGACAGTACGAGGCGGTCGAAAACACGTGTGTTTTTGGTCGCGGCGGCGTGGGGCAAACCGCATACAAACATAACACCTGATCGGACAATAAGGGGAAATGCAGACTGTGTCCACTGGACTCGTAAAGACGAGGGCGACGACGCGGCGGCGGATGACGAGGATGACAGGGGACAACGAGTAGGAAGACAAGCGCGAGGTCGATGAGGAAGAGATGGAGGAGGACGGCTACGAGGAGGAACGAAGCGGAGGAGGAGGAGCAGGAGGAGGAGGCAGGAGGAGAAGGAGGGAGGAGGAGGAGGAGGAGGAGGACGACCAGTGTGAACCCAAGAGTCATCAACGATGTTGGAATGAACCCTTCCTCCAAGCTCCCTCTTCATAGACCTCTACAGCGGTTCATTTCCATTGAAGGAACTGCCTCGTTGGAAGACAGCCGTTTGAAAATCCTGAAACATGCCAAAACATTGTTCTCGGGATTTCAACGCCACGTATCAACCTGACAGCTGCGTCACTATCCGGAATCGTACCAAAACGCCTTTTTGGGACTTCAACACCGCGAATCAACATAACAATTGCACCCGCATAATCCTGAATCCTTCCAAACACCAATTCTCGTACGTTGATCATGGGAATCCGTGAACCTCTTGCACATTTTGAAACAAAAAATACGCGGCGCTGAAGCGAGAACCACACTTTGCAACCCACCCGCCCTCAATCCGTGAAGCTCTTGCACAGCTTGAAAACGAATGTGTGCGGCGCTGAGGCGAGAACCACATGTTGAAATCCACCCGCCCTCCATCCGCGAAGCTCTTCCAAATTTGACAAAACAAAAAACGAATGAGCGCGACGCTAATGCAAAACCGCATGTTGCAAACCACGTACCCTCAATCCGTGAAACTCTTGCAATTTTTAAGAAAAACGAATGTGCGCGGCTCTGCTGCGAGAACCACATTTTGCAAACCACCCGCCTTCAACCCGTGAAACTCCGTCAAATTTGAAAACGAATATGCACGGCGCTAAAACGAGAACCACATGTTGCAAACCAACCCTCAATCCGTGAAACTCTTGCAAATCTTGAAAACGAATGTGCGCGGCTCTGGTGCGAGGGCCACATTTTGCAAACCACCCGTCTACAACCCGTGAAATTTTTGCAACTTAAAAGAAAACGAATGCGCGCGGCGCTAAGGCGAGAAACACATTTTGCAAACCACCCGTCCTCCATCCGTGAAGCTCTTGCAAAGCTTGAAAACGAATACGCGCGGCGCTGAAGCGAGAGCCACATTTTGAAAACCACCCGCCCTCCATTCGTGAAACTCTCGGAAATTTTTGAAAGCGAATGTACGCGGCACGAAGGCGAGAACCACATTTTGAAAACGACCCGCCCTCCATCTGTGGAACTGTTGTTACTTTTTAGGCTTCAGTCATGAGTGATGAGGAAGTCTCAGGCGAAACGCCCGGCCCGCCTTAAAAATGGCCTCGGGGTGCGATAGGGAGATGTTATTTATAAGGAGAAGGAATGGAGGAAGAGGAGGAGGAGGAGGAGGAGGAGGAGAAGGAGGAGGAGAGAAAGGACGACGAATGAGGACAGCAAGGGGCCCGAGGAAGGGACGTCGAAAATGGGGGGGTCTGTCGTGATCTCGTGAGACTTGTTTGGGCCATCTGGGACGATCCTGGGGCATCCCTGGGACCTCTTGGGGGCCTCTTGGGGTCCTCTTGGGGGCTGCCGCGAGCGCCACGTCCAGGTCCTCACCAGCCAGGAGATCGTGCGCAGGTGGGCAGTGGTGCCCGCTCGGGCGGCGCCGGCGATGCAGCGGGCGAGAGGAGGAGGAGGAGGAGGAGGAGGAGGAGGAGGAGGAGGAGGCTGCCGGACATGGTGACGTATCCGCTGGCGCGCCAGCAGGGTGTCGGTGGGGATCGCCGGAGGGCCCGCCGTCCCCCGTCGACGAGAACGGCCAGCTGACGGTGGCCACCAGCCTTAGGTCGGGCATGTCCCCCTACGGGCGGATTGTGGGCGAACATTGAAAAATACTAAAAAAACATATTCAAACGCAGTCCAACAAATGCGCCAAAATCGTCCCCAAGCTATTTGTTTTACTATTTTTGAAGATTCTCCCTGTAAAAGGACATGCCCGGAGGCAGGGTCGACGCGAAGCCGACCGAGGACCGAGGTGGCGCTCATGCGGGAGGAGAGCCCGTGGCACAAGATGCGGGTCAAGGGGGGCGGAGCCCGGGGAGGGCAGCACTGGCGAGCTCGAGTGCGAGCGGGTGGACGCGCAGAGCGAGAGGTGCGGCTTGCTCTTCGCCTCGTTCGAGGAGCTGGTGGCGCGCATGACGAAGACGAAGGGCGGCTTTCACGGCGAGCTGCGTGCACTCCGCTGCTGCGTGCTCACGCAGTCAGCGCGCGAATTGCCTCAGCCTCTCATTCCTCGCGCGACGGCGCGCGGCAGCATGGGCAAGCCCTGTGGAACCTCGGCCGGTGTAAGCCGAGCGGGGGCGGGCAAGCGCGGGAGTTGAGGGAGCCTGCTCCCTGTGTCTGTCCTGCACGTGGGCTCGAGCCTGTGCCCCTGGAGGCATTTTTTTTCGAACGTGCCAAACTCGCACACCCACCACGGCCAGCTCCCCGCATCGTCAGAGGCCTCCTAGATGGGGTCCAAGTAGATGGGGTCGGAGGATCGCGCCGCATCGACGATGCATCGCCGATGCATCGGCGATGCACCGGCGATGCGTCGTCGACGCGGGCGATGCGTCGGCGACGTCGGCGTGAAGAACATCGAGCTCCACATCGAGCCGCATCGGCGACGCATCGGCGATGCATTGGCGATTCTCTGACCCCACCTGCTCGGACCCCATCTGGGAGGCCCAGAGCCGTGCTCCCCCGCTGTGCAGCGCGACGCTGCGGGCGGCCGCAGGCGATGACGGCAGGCGAGGGCGGCGGCCCTCGCACGGTCGCGGGGGCGGGCGCCCCGCCGTCCAGGAGGGAGAAGGAGCTGAGAGGGGACGCCAACGACGAGGGGCTGCGCGTGTCCCCGTGGTGCCCATGGCGGAGCAGCTCCCGCGGTGCGCGCGGCAGGCGCGCGAGCTCGGAGGCCGCCGCTTCGACGCTGTTCTGTGCCCGTCGGAGCAGACTCACGACGACTCGGAGGCGGCGAAGAGGGATGGGAAGGGCCACGCCCCACGGCACTCCACGTGCATCTGGGCGCTCGCAGGCCTCCTTCTCGCTCTGACGGAGAGGGGCGACGCCGTGGGAGCCCAGAGCGCGAGCGGCGTCGTGGTCATCTGTGGGTGGCTTGGAGGCGCACGGCGTGGAGGCGAAGATGGAGATGATCACGGCGGACAGAGAGCCGGCGGAGCTCCAATGAGGCGGAGGAGGAGGAGGAGGCGGGGAAGGAGGAGGAGGAGGAGGAGGCGGGGGAGGAGGAGGAGGAGGAGGAGGAGACGGAGGAGGAGGAGGAGGAGGAGGAGAGGAGGAGGAGGAGGAGGAGGAGGATGCGCCGCGTGGACAAGACGTGCGACAAGGAGCAGGAGCGCATCACCCTCGTGCCGAGGGACTGGGCCTGGGGCGACGGACGCTGGCCGGCGCGCGCATGCAGACTGGCTCGAGCTGGAAGCAGGGCAAGGCTCCGGCGCCAGCTTTTGGCGGCGAGCGAGGGGGGGAAAGGCTAAGGAGAAGGCCTTCTCAGAAGGCGGCGGGACTTCTGAGAAGCCCTCGCGCCTTCTGAGAAGCTTGTCTCTGTCTTCGTGGAAGGCTCAGAACACTTTTCAGAAGGCCGGGGGACGTCCGAGCCTTCTGAGAAGGCCTTCTCCTTATCACTTCCCCCCCTCGCTCGCCGCCGAAGTGAGCAGTGACCGACCGTCCTGGCATCCCTGTGGGCCTACCACGAAATATTCCTAGAACCCAGACATGTTCTAATAACAAAGACAGTGTCTTAGAACATAAGCCTGATGTGTTCAAACAAGACAGCCCCAACCAAATATGTTCCAAGAACACTCCGTGCAAACAGCAGAAGGTCATCAGAGCATTCTCTGGTGGGCCTATGGGCGAGCCAAGACGCTTCGCCGCTGCTTGACCGAAGCTTCCTGGAGAGGGAGCCTCTAGGAACACCTCTGCAACCTGCCGAAGCGAGGGCCGCGGCGGGGGCGCGCCCGGCCCGGCCGTGCCCTGTCCTCCGCGCCCTCCCGTTGTCGAGGGTGCCGCGCGGCCCCGCGCACGATGAAGGAGCCTCTGCGGAGCACGGGCGTGGTGAGGGGCACGGCTTGATGGGCCCATATGCCGCCACCACGACCATATGTAGAAGAGGGAGGAGGAGGAGGAGGAGGAGGAGGAGGAGGAGGAGGAGGAGGAGGAGGAGGAGGAGGAGGAGTTTTAACACGCGTGCTCTGGCGTGCACAAGCGTGCCAGGTGGTTGGCACCCTGGGCGGGCGTGCGCCGCACTGGAGGAGGATGAGGAGGACCTCCTAGTCCTCATCCTCTCCCCCGTCCTACACATGGCAGTGGTGGTGCTGGTGGAGTATTTGCCCATCAGAGCGAGAGGCTGCGTGATCGAGCGTGTGCGAAGCGCTAGTGACGTAGTCCAGCTGGCCGTGACCTTGCGAGTCGGTCGGCGGAGCCAGCCGTGCGGGCGGCTCCGAGCACTGCTCTGTTGCTGAACGCTTCTATTTTGGAGACCGCACGCCGCATCCGACTTTTCAGTGTCAGCAGTTCCGGACGAGCCACGAGCGGCCCGACTCTCTCTGCTCCGACATTGCTGCAAGGATGAGATTTGTCACTCGGCCATAAAAAAAGGCTGCGGGCGCTGGGTGAAATCATCATCATCATCATCATCATCATCATCACCACCAGCATCATCAACATCACCAGCAGCATCCTCATCACCAACATCATCGACATTATCAGCAGCATCGTCTTCATTCTCACCATCATCACCATCAGTATCTGTTAATCGGCATCATCAGCATCACCTTCATCATCCAAGCATCAGCATCAGCATCAGCATCATTATCATCAGCAGCAGCATCATCATCATCATTATAAGTGCCAGCAACAGCATCGTCATCATCGATACCACCGCCATCGTCATCGTCCTTGTCCTCGTCCTCGTCGTCATCGCCATCAGCAACAACAATAGCATCAGCAGCATCATCATCAACCTCATCACCATCATCATCATCATCATCATCAGCATCATCATCATCATCACGATCAGCATCCTCGTTATCAGCATCATCATCATAGTCACGACCACCAACATCAGAATCATCAACATCATCGTCATCATCATTTTCCTATTCGGCATCATCATCATCACCATCATGATCAGCACCACCATTGCTTTCACAATCACCATAACCAACATCAGCATCAACATCAATATCAACATCAACAGCACGACCAACAGCATAACCACAATCACCGTCACACGCATTATCATCATCACCACCATCACCGCCACCATCAGCATCATGGTCAGCATCCTCATCATCGCCACCATCATCATCATCACCACCGCCACCATCATCACCATCATCACTTTCGCCATCACCATCACCATCACCATCACAATCATCATCATCACCACCAACACCATCACCAACATCATCACCAGCATTATCAATCACCGTCATCACCATTACCACCACACTTACCATCACCATCACGATCATCATCATCAACAGCAGCATCAACATCAGCAGCATCATCTTCAGCAGCAGCATCATAAACTTCATCATCATCAGCATCACCATCACCATCACCACCACCATCATCATCATCAGCATCATCCTCATCATCCTCATCCTCATCATCCTCATCCTCATCATCCTCATCCTCATCATCATCATCATCATCATCATCATCCTCATCCTCATCCTCATCCTCATCCTCATCCTCATCCTCATCATCCTCATCATCATCATCATCATCATCATCATCAGCATCGCCTTGACCCTCGTCCACCGCCCTCCTCTCCCACCTCCCGCATAGGTCCCCCTGCTCCCCCTCTTCCACCTCCCTGCTGGCCCGCGGACCTCTCCACGTGTAGGTTGTTCCCCATCTTGTGGTGTTGGGTCCCCGTTTTGAAGACACAACGCCCCGCGTCGCCTCCTCCCGCCCTCCCCCCCTCCTCCCATCCCTGCCTCTGCCATCCGCACCAGTCAACAATTTTGGCACACCCCTCGCACGCTTCGTGGCCCCATAGGGAGCTCCACCGAAAGCCCCAGTGGCTGTGCTCGCATGGCACCACCGCGCCGATATCGGCACACCCATCATACGCATCGTGGCCCCATGGGGAGCTCCACCGAGGACCCCAACAGCTGCGCTCGCATGGCGCCACCGCGCCGATTTCGGTGCAGCCCTCACACGGTTCGTGGTCCCGTAGTGAGCTCCACCGAGGGTCCCCGTGGCCGCGCTCGCACGGCACCACCGCACCAATTTCGGCACACCCCTCACACGCTTCGTGGCCCCATAGGGAGCTCCACCGAAGGCCCCAATGGCTGCGTTCGCATGGCCCCACCGCGCCAATTTCGGCACACCCATCACACGCTTCGTGGCCCCATAGGGAGCTCCACCGAAGGCCCCAGTGGCTGCGCTCGCATGGCACCACCGCGCCCAGTTCGGTGCAACCCTCACACGTTTCGTGGCCCCATAGGGAGCTCCACCGAGGGCCCCAGCGGTTGCGCTCGCATGGCACCACTCGGTACCCCTCGTACGCTTCCTGGTTCCATCGGGCGCTTCACCGAGGGCCCTAGCGGCTGCGCTCGCATGGCATCACCGCCCCGTGTCGGCACACCCCTGACACGTTTTGTGGCCTCATAGGAAGCTCCACCTAGGGCCCCAATGGCTGCGCTCGCATGTCGCCGCCGCGCCAATTTCGGGATACCCCTCACACGTTCCGTGGCTCCATAGGGACCTCCACCGAAGGCCCCAACGGTTGCGCTCGCATGGCACCATTCGGTACCCCTCATACGCTTCGCTTCCTGGTTCCATAGGGAGCTCCACCGAGGGCCCCAGTGGCTGCGCTCGCATGGTTCCACCGCGCCGATTTCGGCACACCCATCACACGCATCGTGGCCCCATAAGGAGCTCCGCCGAACACGATACTCATAACTGCGTTAATGCCAACTGCATACGGTTGGTTCTTTCGCCAGGCTAATTCCGTTTTGATCAGAATTTCCAAGGACATCCGGCCGTGGTGACGAGAGGCACCCCCGAGGCCCACCCACGAAGGTACCTGTACCAACAACTTAGATCCACAAGCTCGATCCTCCTCCTCCTCCTCCTCCTCCTCCTCCTCCTCCTCTTCCGCCTCCTCCTGCTTCTTCTTGCCCCCCGCGGCCTCCTCCCCACCCCTGGCACCCAGGCGGTTCCAGATCTTGAACACGTCCTGCGGGTCGTCAAAGTACACCTCGGATGCAGATGCGAGGGCGAGGAGGACCAGGCCACGCCAAAGGCGTGTCAAGATCTCCTGCGCAAAACGACAGGCGATTGTATCTTACCATCTCGTGACAGCGCGGTGCGGCCCCCCTTGGGTGTCTAGACGAGACGTGCCCTGGCCCAGTCGGCCAGGCCCAGGGAAGCTCGCCGAAACTTGGGTATGCTAGGTGTTCTCTCCTAGGCGCGGCCCTCAAGACCCCAAAAGACAGCTCCACATCTACAAAGCGCGATGTTTCTTCCAAGACTGTGTGTTTCCCACCTTTCTGCGATCTACGAGCCCCTCAAGCCTGACGGTGGCTCCAACATCGCCGGTGGGGGCTGCAAATGATCGATCAGAGCTCTTAAGACTCACAACAGCGCCCTGGGAAAGGCCCCAGGGAACTGCCAACGCGGCCCCAAAGGGCGCCAGACAGCAACAGAGGGTTCCAGGACAGATGAAGAGGGACCCAGGACCGTCCAAGGCAGCCCCATGCCACGTCAGGTGGCAGTACGCCCACAGGCGCATGGACAGGAGCAACATGATTCAGTAATTCACACAAGAAGAAGAGGACAAACACGCACTCTCCATGAGGACAGCTCCATTAAAGTCCTCCGAATTTCTGCTCGCCTGTTCATTTAACCATTTGCAAGACTGTTCCAAGCTCTGGTTCGGTGTGCCGAAATTTCTCCATGCTGCCACCCGTGGCCAGTCGTGGGCGCCTCGTGGGCGCATTGCATCGTGTGGACAAGGTTTGCACCACATTGTCAGATGAAGGGAAAAGCGCAGCAACCTGCCGACTGCCCTTCCAAACTTACACCACGTAGCGTGCACCATATACACCACATATAGCTTCTACCACACAACTTACACCACGCACATTCTCCTCGAAGCAAACATGTATATTCCATCACCCTCCCCCCAAAGGTTATTGCTACAATCTGGGATATTGCAAGCTACATACGCTTTTGTCCCATCATGTATTTCCCATGTGCAATCATGTCACGGCAGTGCAACAGGCATCTGCCTGAACCTACCATGCGAGCGCTCGCTTCCATGCGGAAAAAAGACCATGTCCCAAGAGCCGCTTGCAACACACACATCACCAGTGAAGATCAACAGGGCGTGCGAACATACCGGTATGATACCCATCGCACAGCTATTGCAAGCAGGCCAGGCGCAGGCCCAGGCCAGGCGGTGGGGTGAGCGCGAGTCGGCGTCGCGCAGCCGAGCAACCTCGCCGACGCCTCCCGATGCATGCTCGGCGGAACGACGCCCAAGCGCGCTCTAAGCAGACCGCAGATGCCTGGTCTGCTTGTCTCACGAAAAAAAACACAACTGATTTTTGGATTTGCCACCACTGACATGGTAAACCGCCCAGTGCATGATCCGTACTTCGCCACGCGGTGCGCCCGCGTAGATATCTAGCACACGCCCGCTGCACGAACCGGTTGCAGACCATGCCGTGCGGGCCACCGGCGCGCGCCGCCACGCGCGCGTCGACATCCTCACACCGCCATGTTTGCTCGAAGCATTTCCAAACTCAAGATGGGGCTCTTCAGAAACAAGAAGAAACCACATGCTCTCCAACAGAATTTATGCCACATTTCTAGACTTTCCACGCCCGCACACCTCCTCACCATCACCCTCGTCAGTGCCACCGCAACATACCTGGCATCTTCATCGTCAATCGCCACCATCGCCGCCATCATCCGTGAATCACTTTCATCACTAACACATGGACATTATCACCGTCATCGTCGTCAACGGCATCGGCGCCGTCATTGGCCGTGCTGTCGTCAACCCCATCATCACCACCACGTCGCTACTATCATCATCGTAGCTGCTGTTGCCGACGTCATCATGATACCGCACTCGCCCGAATCACCGACCTGTACAGACGTGCCCGCGCGCCAGCGCGGTATTTGAGACGCGCTGGGAAGGTTTTATCGGTGACCGCCATCGCGGCATCGTTGGCTGTGCCAAACCACCTGGACGCTCTGCGCGCGAGCGTGCGTGCGTCAGCGCAACTACTGTCAAGACGCCCTTTGCACGCGTCTAACTTTAACGGTCATCGCGCATCCATTTCTCTTGCTGTTGCGCTAATTGCAGCACGGCTCGCTTGCATCAAGCCAAGAACATGAACTTGTAATATGTGATAAACGGACTTGGTTAAGAGACAAGAACAGCGTATGGCACGTAACTGTAGCAAGGTGTGGTGATAGAACATGCCATAAAGTATGTTGCTCGTTCCGTTTTTCGAACTGGGCACATATATTGCGCGATCAGTGGTTACTACGTTACGATAGCTGGAGCCCTAATGGCTTTGGCCAGAGTGGCTACGGAAGCCCTCTTCGGGCATCTTGGGGGTCTCGTGGGTCGTCTTGAAGCCATGTTGGGGCGTCCCGAAGCGCCTCTGCGGCTCTCCTGAAACGTTTTGGAGCCTCTTGGGCCGTTTGGGGGCTGTCATGGGCGGTCCTGGAGTCCGGGGAGGGCCTTGGGCGGTCCCAGGAAGGGGGCAACCGGAAAGATACGAGGTCACCGCGCAAGGCCCCGGAGCCTGGACCTCCCATGAGTGTGCACAGTGCCACGCGGAAGCCAGAGAGGGAACCGCGCAGCTTGCACACGCAGCTTGCGCCTCACCGCCTGCCTGCATCACGCAGCTTGCACCACGCGGCTCGCCCCCCCCCCACACGCGCGTTTGGAGGAGGAGGAGGAGGAGGAGGAGGAGGAGGAGGCTCGTGGGGGCCCCCGCGCGCTGGCTGGGCGTGTTCGGGGCTCCGCCCTGCCTGCGAGCGGCTGTGGGCGCCTCGTGGGCGCCCCGTGCGCTGGCTCGCTGGCTGGGCGTGCCGGGGCTCCGCCCGGTGGTAGGCCGTGGGTGCCTTTCTGGGCACCTCGCGCTCGACTGCCTGCATCACATAGCTCACACCTTCTCTGCTGCCACTGCGAGGCTCAGACCGCACAGCTCACACCCCACAGCTTGCACCACCCATGGGTTGCGCCGAATTGCTTACATCGCGCGTAGCTTGCACCGCACAGCGTGCACCACGTAGCTTGCGCACCCAGGGTGCAAGAGCTCACTGTTTGGCATCCACGCTGGTATTTGTTATGAGAGCTGGCAAGCCAGAAATGGGTGTGGACAAAAACGGTACGATGCCCAACATCAAATATTGCCCAACACCAACAGCGGCCCTTGTTGGGGGCAGACGACTCGTGAAGCGTGTCCTGCCCTCCCCCCCAACCCAGCTCGTTGCCCTATGTCGTGTTCAAGTCATCCCGGGGCCTGTGGAGGGCCCAAGAGGGCTCAGCGCGGCGAACCAACCTCAGGAGCCGTTTCCAAGCTTCCCCCAGCACCCGCTTGCTTCCTTCGGGAGCGGCCAAGAGGGGGGCGCCCAAGAGGGGGGGGTGCAAATCATGACCGGCGGCACGTGCGCGGCCCTGCGGGGGGGGCCACGGACGTGTTGAAACAAGAGGAGGCGCCGTGAGATCTGGGGAGATATCGTGGCCCCCGCCATGATGTCCACCCCGACCTAGTCATCACCCCCCTCTTTTAGGGCGACGAGATCTATGCACATCCACTGCTCCTGGCCAGGCCAATCCTGGGCCCAGGAGCGGTGTATACGCCCTCCTGGCCTGGCCAGGGAGGCATATGCACAGCTCCTGGGCCCAGGATGGGCCTGGCCAGGAGCAGTGGATGTGCATAGATCTCGTCGCCCTATCTTTGCCGCCCCCGATTCCTGACAGCATTGCCATCGCCCAGCCCTCGCGCTGCCACGCGGGACGCGCCGCACCGGGAGCGCGCCTTGGGGCTGCTCCGGCCACGGCGAGCCCCGGCCACGCACGCGCAACCCCGGCCGGAGCCTCTGGGAGGCACGGCACGCGGGGCGGAGCCCGGCCTGAGCCCTGGCAGACCGGGCAGTGGCAGGGAGGACAGGGCCTGGATTCGTTCGAAAACTGTGCACGCGAGCGACCCTCCATCCAATGCTTCTGTGCAGTGCCACTTCGGCTGAAGAGCCCCCGAAGGGCGAAAGCTGCCTGCGCTTGGCACACAGAACAGATCAGCATCCGAGCAGGCCTGATAGTCCTTTCGATCGAGTGGCCCTTTCGGCGGTGGACAGGCCTCGCTTTAGTAGACCTCCCCTTAGTGAAAACGGCCTGGGACCGAAACCGACAGACCTGGACCCGCAAAAATGACGGCCGCGACGCCCTCTCGCGAAGCGAAATCGGCCAATTCCTCAATCGACGTGTCAGGGCAGGAGGTCTATCCACTTCCGATCCTTGGTTGAACGTCTTGACTGTACCCAATGAAAAGGGGGGGCGCCCGGCAGATCTTCTCGTTCTCCGGGTCCACCAGCCGGAAGAAGAGCATCACCACCACGTCGGCGCAGTCCTCTTTTCCCCCGATAAGAAGAAGGAAACGGAGAGCAGCGCAGGGGGACGGCGACGGCGGGGGAAGCGGGGCGGAGGGCAGGAGGGTAGGAGGAGAGGGAGGGGAGAGGACAGGACACGACGACGAGGGGGAGGAGGAGATGAAGAGAGGTCAGGGAAGGTAGGAGAGGGGAATGGGCACACGAGTGCGACGAACCGGGAGGGGACAAGGGAGGAGGCACGCGGAGGAGTGACGAGGAGGGGAGTCGAGAGACGAAGAGGAGACGAGGGGAGGAGTAGGAGGACGAGGCTGAGAGGGAAGGCGGAGGCGGGCACGCGCCTCGAGGACGGCGTGCGGCCCCGTCCTCGCCATGCTGCCACCCCCCCCCCGCCGCCGGGCGCCGTGGCTCGCTTCGCAAACTATGCTCCTGCCTCCCTCCTCCTCCTCCTCCTCCTCCTCCTCCTCCTCCTCCTCCTCCTCCTCCTCCTCCTGCCATCGTTGCTGCGTTCGCCTGCTGCTCGCGCAGTGACCGCGGGGACGGCCGCCCGAGAACCATTTTTGCACCTGCGCCGCTTCGGGCACGAGACGGACTTCGGGACCAGCGGGGCGGCAGTCTCCTCCGTGACCATCTCGGGCAACGCCGCGGCTGTGAAGTATTTCCGGGAGTGGGCTCAGGTCGGGCGTGTCCCCCTACAGGCGGGTTTTGGACGAGCAGTTAGAAAAGCACAGAGAAAATACTCTAACAATGCCCAAACATAGTAAAAACATCGTCCCCAGATTATTTTGGACTATCTTCGAATATTCCTCCTGTAGAGGGACCGGCCCGACTTAATTCCAGGAGTGGGCCACCATTCCAGGTTCGAGCGCTGCTTCGACCAGGCCGGTCCCTGCAACCCCGGGGACATGCTGCACCAGGGGGCGGGCTCGTGAATCGGGGGCATGTCGCCTCGGGCAGGTGTCTCCACTTGCATCCTGCTGCCCAAGCAGGGCCTCCTTTCTCTCCATATCTTTCCATGCCCCCTGCTTGTCTTCCTTATCCCAAAAGTCTTGCTGCACTGCCGCCATCCTTTTTCTGGGGTGAGGGCTTCGACCTTTACTGTGTGTGCGCGTCCGTGTGTGTGTGTGTGTGTGTGTGTGTGTGTGTGTGTGTGTGTGTGTGTGTGTGTGTGTGTGTGTGTGTGTGTGTGTGTGTGTGTGTGTGTGTGTGTGTGTGGGGGGGCGTGCGCGTTCCGTTTGTCGGGGGGGCGCAAACATGGACTAGCGATCCATGGATTCAGCGCGCGGTCGCCAAATCCATGGATCGGGGGAGGTGCCCTCCCCAGAATGCGGACGGTGCCGCCTCGCTCGGCGGCGGATATCCGCTATCTCCCATGGAAACGGGACCTGTCGCTGATCCGCGCCCCCTTGATCCATGTCTGCGATCGCCTGACGTTCGAGGGGCAGGAGAGTCCAGAGTCGAATCGACAAGTCGGATCGGCGATCGACATGGATCGGATCGGCGGATATCGGCAGCCGAGTCGGGAAAAATCGGATCGAAAGAAATCGGAAAACTACTATGCGTCCAATTAGAAATCGGAATCCAAACCAGAATCCCAAGTCGAATCGAATCGGAATCGGAAGCCATCGAAATCGAATCGAATCGAATCGGCGGCATCGAAGTGAGCCCTGAGGGAGGGGCGGGGGACCTCCCCCGCCGCCTCCTCCTCCTCCTCCTCCTCCTCCTCCTCCTCCTCCTCCTCCCCCCCGCATCCTCCGCAGCAGCTGCGCACGCACTCCCCCTTGGGGGAGCGCCTGCAGCAGCGGCCGGTCGCAAGAAGGCGCCGTGACCTCTCGAGGCCCGAGGGCGCGAGGCCGTCGCGCCCAGCAGCTCTAACCGCGCAATGGTGTTAGGTCGGGCATGTCCTCCTACAGGCGGGTTTTAAACGAAAAATTCAAAATGGCCACACAAATACTCCACAGTGGTCAAAAGTAGTAGAGAAGTCGCCCCCGGGCTGTGTGTTGACTGTTCTTGGATCCATTCCTCCTGCAGAGGGACGTGCCCGACTTCACGCGGGATAGTGGGTCTTTTAGCTATCATGTTTCGGTGGTCTCATGTTTGGGCTCAGCCTTGGCGGCGCGCAGAGGGGGGTAGGGGGGGGGGGCAGGCTTCCTGGAAGCACCCTGCTTCTTAGAAGGCCCCGGCCTCACGTCGGTAGAGAAGGCCAGCGCCCTCTGAGAAGCAGGGGTGCTCCCAAAGAGCCCCCCCCCATCCCCCATACCCCCCCCCCCCCTCTGCGCGTGGCCGGCAAGCCTCCTTCCAGCCAGGGTGCAGCAACGACCTGCCTCAGATCCAGCACTGGCCTTGCGACCGCAGAGCTGGCTCCCGCACCGCGGGGGAGTGGAGGACCCCCCCCCGCCTCTGCATGGCCCTGCTGCCGGCCGCGCCTTTCGGTCAAGCAGTGCAAAAGCATCCATGGCTTCTCTCGCTCTGTCTCGATGGATGCCGATTATCAGTTTGTTCCTCTGTGTCACGCTCTCTGCCTCTCTCTCTCTCTCGCTCTCTGCTTCTCTCTCTCTCTCTCGCTCTCTCTGGTTTCTCTTTCTCTCTCTCTCTCTCTACATGTAGCTTTCACTCTCATGTCTCTCTCTCTCTCTTTGTTGTTTCTCTCTTTCTCTGCACTTCTTAGATATAGTGATTTGCATGTCTTTGCAATATCCATATATTTCTCTCTTTTTGTTGTTTCTTTATTTCTTTCTTTCTTTCGCTCTCTGTTTCTTCAGGTTGGTTTTGAACTGCGTTCGTTCGTAGGTTCGCCATCGAGTGTTTTTCTCCACTTGACCTCGCGCTGCGCTGCGATGCGATGCGATGAAAAGATAGGAGGCGGGAGTGGTGCGACGTTGGGTTGGGCGGGCGCGCCGCTGGGAGGAGGCGGGGGAAGGGGGAGGGCGGAGCAGGGGGCAGGAAAGGGGGGTGAGGAGGGAGGAGGATTAAGGGGGGAGGAGGAGGGGGAGGAGAAGGAGGAGGAGGAGGAGGAAAAGGAGAGGAGGAGGAGGAGGCGGAGGAGGAGGAGGAGGAGGAGGAGGAGGAGGAGGAGGAGGGAGGAGGGAGGAGGAAGAAGAGGGAGGAGGAGGACAAAGGGCAAAGGACAAGCAGCAAAAACGGCCGGGGGCGACTTCGAGACCCCGAACGAACGAACGCTCAGACGGGAAACCGGAGCGCACGGGCGCCCCTCCGCAGGCACGCGTATAGCGCAGGGCCTTTCGCGATCCGCGCGGCCTGCCCGCCGGAGACGCGCGCGCGCCCGGCGAAGGCGCAGCGGGGGGCGCGGCGGAACGCCGGCGGGGGAGAACCGTCTTACCAGCCTCGAACTTATCCCTATCCGTAGGATTGACACGCCAAAAGGCGATGACAATCTTAGGGATGCGCCCTCAAAAAAAGAAGGGAATCCCTAAGATTGGCATCGTGATGAGGAGGTGCCCAGCATAGGGATAGGGACATGCTCCAGGCCGGTAACCGTCGGAGATCTCCGGCGTGAGCTCGGGCTGCGGCCGACGCGAGCCAGCGAGCTGGGAAGCGGGTCGCGGGGCTCCGGCGGGCGCCCGCGCGGCGGTCCCGCCCCCGCGGCGCCCCGCCCCGAACGCGCCCCGAGGCCCTGGGCGTGCCAGCTCCGGGGGGGGGGGCCGCGGCGTGTGCGCAGTCCCCGGGCGGGAGCGGGCGCGCAGGAGCGAGGGGCCGGAGAGAAGAAAGAGGAGCGAGGAGGAAGAAGGGCGAGCAGCGAGCGGCGGGGGAGGGGGGGGGCAGGAAGAGAGGAGGGAGAGGCCAAGCCCAGCGAGGAGGTAGAGCGGGGCCGTGGAGTAGCGTTCCGCCTCGAACGGCACAGCCCTGCTCTCTTCCGATGATTGCGAGTTTCTTCCGCGCAACAGTCAACGACAACATATCAACGCATGAATGCGCATTCGTCTCCTTGCCTTAGAGCAACTCCCCAAACTGCCCATTATTTCAGAGATCCCAGCACTTCATCAATCCTGCACTTGTGATGAATCATGTTTTCGACGGCTCTGGCGGAACAGAAGACACCAGCGAGCTTGCCTAGTGCATCATCAACACCACCCATTATGTTTCCCCCTACGTTCTGCCACGAAGCCCCGCGGGAGAATTCTGAACTCATCGATAGCTTCCGCCCTCTTGATGTCCAGCAATTCGGCCATCGATATAATCGTGAATATAATTACGTCACCCGTCCACTCTGAGCAACTTCCCACCAGCACCAACAATTCAGCATCGGTACAAGGCTCGTCGTATGAGTCCATGTATTGTTTCGTAATTCGGATGTTGTCCAAACCGAGAATGTTGGACATCTGAAAATTGCTTGAACATGCGGCGCGGCTCTGAGAAAAGTCTACTAACTTGGTATCCGTGTTCAGATATTCTGTTCCCAACCAAATATGAGGTATGTGCTTGCGAGACAGCCACCAACAAGAGGTCCTTCGTTGCGGCGCATCGCGTTCATGATAATGATCCGTCCAACCAGCGGTAAATCCAGAAGCAACAGTACGCTTGCAATCAGCATCATTGTCTGCTGTCCCTGTTCACGAATGCTCTGCGTCAACTGGAACACATTGCACACTACCGCAAAATGCTTCGTGGTTATCCATTTTGACATGCTCATGGAATGGTCTGCAATGGTTTCTGTGCATGCGTGGGGCGTGATTCCAAAAACGTCGAGCTCCAACTCCGCACCAGTCTCTGCAGTGGCACACGAATCCTCGTTAGATCCCTCCAGACTGAGCGGGGGGGCAGTGCACAAGCTCTGCATCATGTCAAACTTTAGAAACTGCTTGTTACATGCACGTGTGATCCTGGTCATTTCCCTCTTGCCGTTCGACAATTTTTGCAAGGTCGCACTGGCTTCCTGAGGGAAACAGGGCGGCACAAGCATCATCTGACGAGAGCGAAGTTCAGCAAACGGGGACGGGCGACCCTGAGACCACGTCAGGGTTAAAATTCGCACTCTTAGGGCGAGGCAGGAGTGTGCTCTTGATCCCTCAAGCGCCAGCCTAGGAGGAGGAGGAAGAGGAGGAGGTAGAGTAGGGGAACAGGAGGGGGGGAGCAGGAGGTGGAGGAGGCGGGCAGAGGGATGAGGGAGGGAGGAAAGGAAGGAGGGAGGACTTGCGATTGGGACTCCAGCACTCCGGTCGCGTGCGCACTCTGGTCGCGTGCGCACCCTGGCGTTGCCGAGCAACCGCCCCGCTGGGCCTACGGCAGCGACGCCAGGGGCGCCGGACGTCACCGCACATCGGTCCATCCTCCCTCCTGGGGGCGGCGGCGGCGGCGACGACGGCGACGGCGCGCCCGCGCCGAGCGGAGGCCTGCTTCTGCCCGCAGATGGTCAACAACTCCCGCACCTGCGCGGCCTCGCGCGGCGGTGCCGCGAGGGGGGAAGAAGAGGCGGGGGGCATGGGGGGGGAGAAGGAGGGGGAGGACCTTTTCCGATAAACGATCCCGTTGGGGCCAAGCCGATGATGATGGTGCTGATGATGATGATACTGATGATGATGATGCTGGTGATGATGATGATGACGATGACGATGATGATGATGATGATGATGATGATGATGATGATGATGATGATGATGGTGGTGATGGTGGTGATGATGATGATGACGACGACGACAATAAGGAGGATAAGGACGAGGAGGAGGAATATGAGGAGCTGGTGTGGAAAGGAGGAGGGCCCTCCCCGCTACTCTTCCTCGCTCCTTCTCGCTCCCGCCTCCCATTCGTTCCCTCCTTGTCCTCCTGCTCCTGCTCGTCGTGCCTCCTTGTCGCCTGCCTGCTCGTCGGCACTGGGCCGGCTCGTCCTCCTTCTGCTCCTCCCTTATCCTGGAGGCCAGGGAGGAGGAAGAGGGTCAACTGACGAGGAAGAAGGAGGAGGCGGAAGGGAAATGATGATGAAGATGAATATGAAGATGAAGATGAAGACGAAGATGAAGATGAAGATGAAGATGAAGATGAAAATGAATGTGATGATGATGCTGATGATGATGATGCTGACGATGATGATGGTGCTGGTGCTGATGCTGCTGATGATGATGATGCTGATGGTGATGATGATGCTGATGATGATGATGCTGATGATGCTGGTGATCGGAATGGCAATGATGATGCTGACAACGATGATAATGACGATGCTGCTGATGATGATGTCGATGATGATGATGCTGATCATGTTGATGATGATGATGCTTGTTATCATGATGATGTTGGTGATGGTGATGGTGATGGGAATGGCAATGATGTTGACGACGATGATAATGACGATGATGATGCTGATGATGAGGATGACGAGGATGAGGATGCTGATGCTGCTGATGATGCGGACGAATAGGAGGGAACGAGCATGGGAAATACGGAGGAACGGAGGACGAGGGAAGACATGCTGCATTTTGTTGACGAGGCTCGGTGGCTGCAGAGCCCTGGGAAGGAAAAGATCCGAGGTGCTAGTGTGGGCCGCACTCGGGTTCTTGCACGTCTATAAAGACTGCGCCAAGGGCGCCTCCCCGCCGTAAAGCTTCAGCAACAACTGACACGAGTGTGGGCTCAGTCTCTTCTGACTCTGGGTTAAAAGGTTCACGCGTCACTTCTGGCAGCTTCGGGTGGAGGCCTCGCTGCAGTGACCTCATCGCAGAAGCAGCGGACTTGGAGAGACAAGCAGCTTTCTCAGGGCGGCATTGGGCCCCGAGATCCTTGAGTTGGCTACCGCTTGCGTATCCATGGCATTGTGAGCATACATGCAGGACGGTGGCAGTAAAGAGCAAAGCCCGACGCACTTATGACCGCGCTCCTGCAGCGCGAGGGCGACGGGGAAAAGGTGGCCGGAGCCGTCAGGGGCGAAGGGTTGTCCTCCTGACGCCGCTGAATTTCAAGCAAGTCTGGCACCACCAGTGAGCGCCGATCCAAGCCCAGCCGTGTAGATTGGAAGACTGAAGGACTGGACCTGCACCTGGAGGAATCACGTCACGAACATCGGGAGCGGCCAAAAGAGGGGGGTGTCCAAGAGGGGGGGTGCAAATCATGACCGGCGGCATGTGCACGGCCCAGCGGGGGGGCCAGGGACGCAACGAAACAAGAAGAGGCGCCATGAAATCTGGGGAAATATCATGGCCCCCGCCATGATATCCACCCCCCTATCACCCCCCTCTTTTCCGCCGCCGAGAAGTACGTCACGAACAACACTATATAATTTCAACCGCGGCCGCTCCAGCATGTGCAGGTGGGCGAGCCCACATGCGCATCAAGCAACCAACGAGCTTGGTGGGAGATTGACCGCACATCTTCGGCCGGAGCACGGGAGTGGGCGGCTGCCCCTGGTTGAACAACTGCGAATCGGCAATGGAATGGCCAAGTCTTCAGAGACGTCGAAACGGAATCAAGAGGTCAGACTCCGCAGCGTGGGCCCTGGCCTGTGCTCTTCTCAAGGGGCCCCAGCACACACACACACACACACACACACACACACACACACACACACACACACACACACACACACACACACACACACACACACACACACACACACACAAAAAACACAAATAAACAGATCCCGCTATTTTCCTATATTTTGTGGGCTTCTGTCTTCCCCCCCACTGCCCATATTTTCCAATACTTTCTTGGGAATCGACGATTAATCCCACCAGCCCTTTGGGCGTGAGTGGTTTAGGGAGCTCTCTCTGTCCTCACCCCCCCTTCTTCCCTTCGGGGAGGGGTTTACCCCTCCCCCTACCCCCTCCCCCTGGACCTGGAGAGGGGGTTTCGCGGGTGGTTGGAGGGGTCTTTTTCGACTCCTGGGAGGGCTAAAAAACGACGACCCTCACGAGGATTCTGGCCCCGACGGGGGGAGGGAGATAGCCTATCTCAGATAGGCCCCTCTGCTCTTCTTTGAAGCCAAAATCGTTGATGTTACTAAGGTTGTGGCCCCATTTTGGCCTCCTGAGGGGGCCGCGCTCATCTTCCTTCATAGCAAAATCATTGATTTTACGAAGGTTTTGGGCTCATTTTGTCCTTCTCAGGGGGCAGCGCTCCTTTGCGCTTCTGAAGAGGTCGCAAGAGGCCCCAAGATGGCCCCAAGAGGCACCCAGGAGCTTCCCAAGAAGCCTTTCAAGAGGCCCTCAAGAGGCCCCCAAGAGGCCCCCAAGAGGCCCCCAAGAGGGCCCCCAAGAGGCCCCCCCCAAGAGGCCCCCAAGAGGCCCCCAAGAGGCCCCCAAGAGGCCCCAAGAGGCCCCAAGAGGCCCCCAAGAGGCCCCCAAGAGGCCCCAAGAGGCCCCCAAGAGGCCCCCAAGAGGCCCCCAAGAGGCCCCCAAGAGGCCCCAAGAGGCTCCAAGAGGCCCCCAAGATGCCCCACGAGGAGCCCGAACGACTCACACCAGGACGAGGGGCCCGAACGACTCACACCACGAAGAGCCCGAACGACTCACACCACAAGGAGGGGCCCGAACGACTCACACCAGGACGAGGCGCCCGAACGACTCACACCACGAGGAGCCCGAACGACTCACACCGACGAACGACTCACACCACGAGGAGCCCGAACGAGTCACACCAGGAGGAGGGGCCCGAACGACTCACACCAGGACGAGGGGCCCGAACGAACGACTCACACCACGAGAAGCCCGAACGACTCACACCGAGACGACTACGCCCGAACGACTCACTCACACACGAAGAGCCCGAACGACTCACACCAGGAAGAAGGGCCCGAACGACTCACACCAGGACGAGGGGCCCGAACGACTCACACCACGAAGAGCCCGAACGACTCACACCAGAAGGAGGGGCCCGAACGACTCACACCAGGACGAGGCGCCCGAACGACTCACACCACGAGGAGCCCGAACGACTCACACCACGACGAGGGCCCCGAACGACTCACACCACGAGGAGCCCGAACGAGTCACACCAGGAGGAGGGGCCCGAACGACTCACACCAGGACGAGGGGCCCGAACAACTCACACCACGAGAAGCCCGAACGACTCACACCAGGACGAAGAGCCCGAACGACTCACACCACGAAGAGCCCGAACGACTCACACCAGGAAGAAGGGCCCGAACGACTCACACCAGGACGAGAAACCCCAAACGACTCAAACCACGAGGAGCGCTTTCTCTCCCTCCTCCTCCGCCTCGTCCTTCTCCCGCTCCCCCCACAAGGAGGATGTACAAGGAGGCGGGAGGAAGGAGGAACAGGGGAGATATGCGGGGGCAAGCGGACACACGCCTGAAAAACACGACTGTCGGCATGCTTCGCAAGAGTTGCTGTTGTGAGATGGGCTGGTGGGGATACGCGAAGCGTAAAGAATTGTGTCTGTGTGTTTCTTTCCCTCCTGATCTTCACCCTGGAGAACAACCCAAAGCAAGGTCTACGGCGGGGTACTTGCATGGAACGTGGCCGAACAACATAGTCCGCAACATTCCGAGCGAAAAGAGGCCCAACGGATGGGGGGACAATGATGTCACTGCCAGAAGGAAGGGGCCCGACCTCTCCCGCTTGGGAGGTCTGCGGGAACTCGGCCCACCTAGGGTCAGACCTGGAGTCAGGTCGGGCATGCCCCCCTGCAGGCGGATTCTGGACGCAGGAGGGGAAGTAGTCCAACAATAATCGAGCAAGTTCAAACGGAGTCGACCGATCGTCCTCAAGCTACTCCAGATTTCGTAATGAAGGGAGGGGGGTCTCATTTCGGGGGGGTCTCTTCCAGGCTATCTTGGAGGGCTTGGGGGGGTCTGGGGACGATGTTTTGGAGGGTTCTCCCAGGGGGGGGGGTCTAAAACTTATCGTCTGGGAGGGTTGAGACCCCCTCCCTTTTATTACGAAATCTGGAGTTTCCCCAAAAAACAACAACTGTTCATGCATATTCCTTCTGTCGAGGGACGCGCCCGACTCCACCTCCCACCGCCACGACGCCGCACCTGGCCCCGAGGAGTGTTCCGAACCTGCAGCGGAGGCCAGTCTGCAAGGAGACACCTCGCACGCGAGGCCCCACCCTGAGACCCCCCGGACGTCCAGCGATGGTTTGGCGTGGGAACGTCACGCTTTCTCCATCGCCAAGCCATCGAAACCCAGGAAGGCCACCCTTCAGTGAAAATGGCCACACGAAACCCAACCCTGAGACCCCAGGACGTCCAGCGATTTTTTGGCGTGGGAGCGTCACGCTTTCTCCATCGCCAAACCATCGAAACCCAGGGAGCCCAGGGCACCCTGGAGGCAAGGCAAGCAGGGTGCTCCTCGGCATGGGCCCCCACTGTACTGATGACGCATGAGGATCGGCGGTGGACAAGCCTCCCTTTAGTAAACCACCCTTCAGTGAAAACGGCCACACGAAACCCAACCCTGAGACCCCAGGGCGTCCAGCGATTTTTTGGAGTGGGAGCGTCACGCTTCTTCCATAGCCAAACCATCGAAACCCAGGGAGCCCAGGGCACCCTAGAGGCAAGCAGGGTGCTCCTTGTGGCATGGGCCCCCACTGTACTGATGACGCATGAGCACGTGCCCACAAATTTCAGTGCGAGACGACGGCGGAGATTCCAGCCGAGGTTCCCCCCACGACTGACGTGGATTGCGTCTGCCGCCGCCTGCGCTCGCGCCCCCCCCAGCTCGGAGCGGAGACGACGACGACGGAGGAGGGGGAAGAGGAGGAGGAGGAGGAGGAGGAGGAGGAGGAGGAGGAGGAGGAGGAGGAGGAGGAGGAGGAGGAGGAGGAGGAGGAGGAGCGGGGGGAGGGGGCAGAGGAAAAGGAGGATGACTAAGGAGGAGGAGGAGGAGGAGGAGGAGGGGGAGGGCGAGCCCAATGGGACGGACGAGGGGAACAGGAAGCAGGAGCGGGAACACCTCAAGGGCGATACAGGTGAAGAGTAACGACACATGGGCAGCCATATCACAGCGTAAAGAGGAAACAGGCGGGAAGAAATCACGACCACAAGGGCGCCAACACTGCCAAACAGACACCACGTCGGAGCTCTGGGGACGAGGTTCGAAGACCGCACCTCTAGGAATCAACTCTTCGGATGGATGGTCCTGGCACCTCTTTTAACCTTCCGAGAGCATCCTGGAATCTTCCGAGAGCCCCAGGGGTGGACCTCCTAAGGCCTCCGGCCACCTCCATCGACCTCTGGGCCATGGATTTCCTACGTCTCGTACCTTTCAGCCCCAGCTCTTTTCCTCACTTCTGGTTTTTGGGGGGTCCCTCCCTTGGCGCGCGAAGCTTGCCAGGGGCGGCGCAAGAGGCGCCGCCATGGGGGCTCCAGCGCCAACCCAAGATCTGTGCGGATCCCCCAAAGTCTCTGCTCATGCGGTTGTGCGTTCTTCTCCGAGGGATTGCCACGCCGTCCATCTGTCGGGGGCGCGCAAACATGGATTAGCGATCCATGGATTTGGCGCGCGGTCGCCAAATCCATGGATCGGGGGAAATGCCCTCCCCAAAATGCGGCCCGTGCCGGCTCGCTCGGCGGCGGAAATCCGCGATTTCCCATGGAAACGGGACCCGTCGCTAATTCACGCCCCCTTGATCCATGTTAGGAGGAAACTACTGGGAGGTCTTCGTCGGACGGTTCTAGGAGGATTAAGCCCCATTGGGGGGATTGGGGGGCTGTTACGCCGGAGCGGGCCCCGAATTAAGTGGGATGGGGCCGCGAATGAAGCGGGAAACTGGATGAAACGAGATCTAGCGGGAGTATACCGGGTTCAGCCGGATTCGGACCAGGGCAGAATCAGAATTTGACCTCTCAGGAGTTGCACCCGAATCCATGTTTGCGATCGCCTGAAATGGGGAACAAAAACAAACCTACCTCGCTTTTGACCACCCTCGTTTCCAAGAGATACCAAACGATGCCAAATTGCAGCCTGTACTGGTCAGGCCGCTGGACGAGGAGGCGCGTGGTATGGCTTGGTTTTGCCTGGAAGCGAAAGCGGGGTAAGTAATTCACGCTCTGATGAACATGAGGATCTTCGCCTCCTCGCGTGGGGCCGCCACGCCTTCAGGTACAGCTTGTGCGCGACGGTCCGTAGCGCGCGGACGCGCTGCGCTGGGCGCAGCGCCTGCCGCTGCAGCTCGTGCATGACCTGCGCCAGCGGCCGCGGCGGCGATGAGAGCAGCAGGCATCGGCACTGCCACCACCGCCGCGGCGAGGAACCAGGGAGAATCCCCCTGGTGGCGTCTTAGGAGGCAACAGCTGGGAGGTCTTCGTCGGAAGGATCGATGAGGACTAAGCCCAATTGGGGCGCTGTTACGCCCGAATCGGCCTCGGATTAAGCGGGATTAACTTGGATTCAACGGGACTTAGCGGGATTAAACCGGATTCAGCAGGATTGCGCAGGATTAAGCCGGATTTCAGACTAGGGCAGAATCAGAATTTGACCTCCCAAGAGTTGCATCCGAAGGCATCGGCACTACCACCACTCCGCGAGGAGCCAGGGAGACTCCCCATGGTGGTGTGGTCCCCTTGTCCTGCGATGTCCGCCAGGAGGTGCCTCACACCTGCAGCTCGGAGAGGCCCCGTGGACCCCACTTGCGGGAGTTGGCCCTCTGCTGTTGGTGTCGTTTGTCTCCTCTCCGAGACGGAGACGAGGGCGGCGGCAGCGACGATGACGACGCAGGGTCTGACGCGGCGGTGACAACGACGGCGGCGGCGGCGACGACGATCTCGACGAGGGGGCTACCGCGCTGATGGCGACAGTGACAGCGGTGAGGAAGGCGACGACGACGACGGCGCGGGGGCTGACGCTGTCGCTGCCAGTTGAGGGGCAACGACAGGGGGGGGGGGGCACGATGAGGGGGGGGATGCGTCGACCCGGGTCCGAAAGAATCGAGCTTACGGTCCAGCGCGTAGGACGAGGGGGAGGAGGAGGTGGAGGGGGCGGGGGAGGAGGAGGAGGAGGAGGAGGAGGAGGAGGAGGAGGAGGAGGAGGAGGAGGAGGAGATCGGCGATGCATCATCGACCCATCGGCGAGAGGCCCCCGGATAACGAGTCCGCACCTGCCTGGGGGCGGGGTGGGGCGCTCGGGCCCCTGTCGGCGATTGACTGGGCGAGTGGGGGTCGACGCGTCCGCCCCTTATCAGGAGGGAAAAAAACACACAGACACAATTAATCGTCCATCCCCAAGAAAATATGGGAAAATATGGGAATTGGGCGGGAAGACAAAAACCCAGAAAATATATGAAAATATAGGAAATCCTTTTATTTGTGTGTATTTATTTGTGTGTCCTTGGCCCCCTTGACCTTATGCCTGCCCCCCCCCCCACACGTTGCCCCCGACCAGTACCCTGGAGGAGGAACAAGCGGCCATACAGGGCAATTTTTGATACACAGGATGCTTAAACCTATTGTATCTTAGTGCATGACTACTTTGCGAGTAAAATTATGCATGAACTCATCGTTGTTTTTAATGCTCAATCCCTGCATTTTTGATACATGATCCGCACGCGGAGCATGTATAAGAAACGGCACTGTACTGTAAACAGAGAAGCCGGAGCTCCCCGTGGGCAGCTTCGATCGGCGCTGGACCTCCCTGGGCGGCGCCCAGGGCGCCGCCCCTGGCGAGCTCCGCGCGCCAGGCAATGTCGGCCCAGAATACTTCGAGCTGCGTCCAGCCAGGGCCACGAGGATAGAGGCCTGCCAAATCGGGTTCGAGCATCGGGTCGGGCGAAAGGGGGGGATAGCAAAGGGGGGGTTTGAGAATCAGCTCACGTAGCTGATTTTCCCAGCGCCTCCCGGCGCCGGAGGCGGCTATGCATCGAGGAGTGGGCCCCTCGGTGAGGCCGAAACCAGCTGCATGCAGCCAATTTCGTAATCCCCCCTTTCCCAGCCCCCCCTTTCGTTCGGCCTGAGAGTAGCTGGGCGTCGGGGGATCACGCCGCGTCGTCGACGCGCCACCGATGCATCGCCGATGCGTGCCTGGTGCTAGGGCTCCCAACTTCGCGCTTCGCGCTCCGCGAAGCGCGAATAACTTCGCGCTCTCGCGCCGCCCCCCCAAAGGGAGAAAAGGAGGACGAGGAGGAGGGGGAGAAGAAACGAGGACCGCGAAGCGCGAAGCGCGAATAACTTCGCGCCCTCGGGGGAGCCCTTGCTGGTGCATCGGCGACGTCGGCGCAGGCAAGATCGGGCTCCACCTCGGGCCGCATCCATGCAGCGGCCTTGCGGGGGCGATCGTCCGACCCCGTGTGCTCGGACCGCAGCCCCCACCCGGGGCCGAGAAACGAACCACAAGACCAGTCCATCGGCCCTCCACCATCTGCTGTGAAGTCGGGCATGTCCCACTACGGGAGGATTTTGGGCGAGAAATTTAAAAATACACCAAACATGCCCCCAAATGGTCGAACATAATCATAAAAAATCGTCCCCAGACTGTTTTTTAAATTATTTCTGAGTATTCCTCCTGCAGAGGGACAGGCCCGACTTAAATCTGGCATTGCCTGCCCCTTCGCCCCCCTTCGGCGGTGGACAAACCTCCCTTTAGTAAACCTCCCCTTAGTGAAAACGGCCTGGGACCGAAACCGACGGACCTGGGCCCGCAAAAATGACGGCCGCGACGCCCTCTCGCGAACCGAAAACGGCCAATTCCTTAATCGACGTGTCAGGGTAGGAGGTCTATCAACCTTCGCCCCCCTCTGGGGAGGGGGGGGCGGCGGCGGCGGCGTTTGGCGGCGGGGCGCGACGTGCCGGAACTGGCCCTCGGAGAGCGCGCCCGCGCCCGGCGGCGGGCGCCGGCCGGACACGTAGTCGAACTCGAAGAAGCCGTGCTCGGGCATGAACCTTCGAGTGGGGCGGGGCTCGTAAAGGGGTGGGAGGGAGGGGGGAGGGCTTCTTAGGATTAAGTCGTAAGTCGGGATTTTCGACGAAAAATAAAAAAATACCCCACAAATAATCCTATAATAGTCCGGGGACTATTTTTTGAATATTTTCTGACCATTTTGGAATATTTGTGGTGTATTTTAAATTTTTCGTCGAAAATTCCCCTGTAGGGGGACACGCCCGACATAATCTTAGGAGGAGGCTGCTTCTCAAAGGCGCCGGCCCGATATCAGCAGAGAGGGCCCGCGCCCTGCAAGAGCCAGGGGTGCTGCTGAGAAGCCCATCCCCCTCCCCCCACCCCCCTCTGCGCGTGGCTGGGAAGGGGCGGGTCTCAAGGGCAGACGCCCCACCCTCATCAGAAGCGCCCCGACGAGCCGAGCCTCGAGCAAGAGCACCCAAAGAAGGGATGGAGCAGGGCAAGGCTGTCTCGGAAACGCCCAACTTCGTGTCGTCAACGCCAGTTGTGGGGGTCGGTGTGTTTTTAGGGGGGGTGCGCAAGCATGGGTCAGCGATCCATGGACTCGGCGCGCGGCCGCCAGAGCCATGGGTCGGGGGAGGTGCCCTCCCCAAAATGCGGCCGGTGCGGCCTCGCTCGGCGGCGGAAATCCGCTGCGCTGGATCGGGCGGCGCGACGCGGCCGCGGAGCGGTGCGCCTCGGGGGACGGAGGGGGAGGGGGAGGGGGAGGGGGAGGGGGAGGGGGAGGGGGGAGGAGGAGGAGAGGAGGAGGAGGAGGAGGAGGAGGAGGAGGAGGAGGAGGAGGAGGAGGAGGAGGAGGAGGAGGAGGAGGAGGAGGTCTCCCATGGAAACAGGACGCGTCGCGAATCCACGCCCCCGTGATCCATGTCTTCGATCGGCCGACCAAGGGCAGGAGGGCAGTCCCGGGTCGAGGGCAGGGCTGGACCTGAGCGCTGTTTTCGTTATGGCTTCGTTCTGTCTCTCGTCTTGCCCTGCCTTCGTTATGTCTTCGTTATGTTTTCGTTCTGTCTTCGTTCTGTTCTTCGTTATGTCTTCGTTCTGTCTCGTCTTGCCGTCGTTCGTTCTCCTGTGCCTCCCCGGAGGGAGGGGAAGGGCGGGAGGGGCCGCAACGATCAGAGGCTGTCACCGCAGAGCCTGCCCATCGGTCGGAAGGAGTGGGTAGAAACATGATGTAGGAAGGCGTTGAACACAAATTGGGTGTCCGCCCGCCCCCGAAAGAGGACGGAAAAGGTGAAGCCACGCGATCGTGGAAGTAAGAAGGCGCTTGCTTGAAGTGGATTGGAATCTGGGGATCCAACAATACCTGCCCTCAACGACCGATGGGTATGACCCAACGGGATCCGAGGGAGGGGGGGGCCGGGGCTGGAGGAGGGCCGAGGGGGATCGAAGGTCCCGCCGCCCCTGCTCCCCGGGATCGATGAGGATCGAGGAGCGTGGAGGATTGTGAATCGAGGGTCGAGGGATCGGTTCGAGGATCGGTGGCGTCGGTGGCGACGGCGGCGACCTTCCTCCCTGCCACCTCCTCCTCCATGCATCCTCCTCCTCCTCCCCCTCCCTGCCTCCTCCTCCTCCTCCTCGTCTCCTCTCTCCTCTCTCCTCTCCTCTCTCCTGTCTCCTGTACTTAGACGCTTCGCCCCAGGATGGTAAGATATACGAAATGGCTCGAAAGTTTCGAGCCGAAAGGGAAGCGGAATTGAAGAATTATTCACTGCGTGGAGCTCCCCATATGTGCATCTACTCGCATGGACCTGTCCGCCGTGAGTGTCTAGGCGCAAGAGCTTTCGAATATTAACGGGCTTCAGTTGTGACGGTCTGGACATCAATCTAACTGCGAATGAATTGGAGTGTGAATGAACCTCAGTAGTACGAGCGCGTCTCTGTGCATGAGCCTGGGGCCTCCTGGGGCCTCCTGAAACCTACTGGGGCTTCCTGGGGTCTCCAGGAGCCTCTTGGGACCTCCTGGGACCTCCTAGGAAGGTTTCGCGCCCCAGGAGAGGCGCAATCTATAGCAACAGACGTACATAAAACATTGCGGATTAGAGCCACTTAAAAAATGACAAGGCAGCCCGTGCAGCACGAACCGATCCTGCCGCCAAAATGGCGAGCCGCAAAATGCGGCGAAGAGGCCCGCAAACAGCGGCCTCCGAAAGCAGCACGCACGCCGCGCTGCATGGGTATGCGCCGTCAGGTGAGGCAGCCGCACGAGCCACCATCCACCCCGTGCCGAGCCTGAACAGGCTCAGACCACCGAAGGCACTCCCCAACTCAATCACTTAGGCGCTTGCCCGTCTTTGGGTCCAAGCCCGCCCTGATGTTAGCGACCTTCAGGTTGCGCAGGCGCAGCGCATTGCCTGAGGCTGCGACGCACGTCTTGCCGAGCGTCCTGTTCTTGCCATTGTTCTCCTTGGCGTACGCCTTGCAGCGCGTGCAGATCCTGAAGCCGTTGATGCTGAGGAGCGCATGGCCCACTCCTTCGGCTTCCTGGGTGCCTGATCCCCCAGGCTCGTCCACCTCCATGGCGTCCTGGGCGACCGTGGGGCCCGCGTCCGCCCGGCCGCCAGCGGGGCCCGCGCGCAGGGCGCCCTGAGCCTCGCAAGCTGCGCGGGCGGCGGCCACCGCACGCATGAGAGCAGCTCCAGGCGAGAGGTCCTGGCCGCTGCTGCTGCTGCTGCTGCCCCCGCCAGCCGCTGACGCCTCTGCTGGCTGCTCGCGCGCGGCGCGGGCGGCGCCCACTGCGTGCATGAGGGCAGCGCCAGGCGAGAGGTCCTGGCCGCTGCTACTGCTGCTGCCTCCGCCTGCCGCTGCTGCCTCAGCTGGAGGCTCTCGAGCGGCAGCGACGGGGCTCGGCGCCATCTGCTGGGCCTCTGGCTCGGAGGACACCACAATCTCGTCGTCCTGCGTGCTCTGGGTCTCCTGCTCAAGCCTGCGCGCCGCTGCCAGCGCCACCGCCACCGCGCCTGCAGACGCCAGGGCCGAAGCAGCTGGCTTGCGTCTCGCGCCGCTTGCCACGGGCGCGAACGGCTTGCCAACGCATGGGTCCTTGAGCAGCCTCTTGATGCTGAGGTCGGTGAAGGCCGTCTTGAGGCAGGCCCTGCAGTGCACGCCGTCGCCAGCCACCTTGACCACGTCGTGCCTGGTGACGCTGAGAGGCGGCCCTTTGTGAATAGGCTTGCAGTTCGGGTCGATGTCCAGCTTGAGGTCAGCCGCCTCACACCCAGCGCGCGCGACCCAGTGCACGACCCCGTCCAGCGTGAGAGACCGCCGTTGCCAGGCTTCACGCAACTCGAGTGGTGCCCTCACTGCGGCAGCGACTGCCTTTGCAGCACGGTCGGCCTCCCAGTTGCCACGCCTGTCGCGGGCCGTGATGTCTCCTTTCTGAACCATGGCCGCAGAGGCATGCGCCTTCACCTTCTGAATCGTGAGCCCCTGGGGCCCAATGCCGCCGAAGTCGTCAAGCGCCGCCCAGACTCGCCTCCAGATGCACCCCCAGGCAGAAGTCGCCTTGGTGGTGCTGGCTTCGCCCCTCGCCGTCAAGCCTTTTGTCGCGTACGTGGCGTCGAAGGCCGCGGCGATCGGGGGCAGGCTGTGGCGGAGGAGCACCAGACACCCCAAGAGCTCGGCCCCGTCGATGGACTGCAACGGCCCAGGCAAGGGAGTGCCTAGCGCCTTAACGGCCGACTCAGGTCCAGGGTCCCAGTCGTCACCTCCGTCGGGCAGCTGCACCATTCCGCAAGCCCCCACCGCCAGCGATGTCCCAGCGTCGTAGACCGCTCCGTCGGAGTAGACCGTGGTGTTGGAAAACGGGAAACCGTCGCCGCCCTTGAGCCACTGCACGTGCGCGAGGAGGTCGTCTCCAGGCGGGCGCCACTCGTGTAGGGGCTCGGGCAGGACCAGCCTCTCCAGGAGCGTAGTGATGGTCACGCTGGTGCTGAAGGGGACGAGCTTGCTGATCTCGGCTGGCAGCGTCAAACTCGGCCAGCTGTCCTGGCAGGCGGTGTGCCTGTGCCAGAGAGTGCCAGGCTGCTCTGGGTGCAGCTGGCAATACGGCGTATGCGAGAGCCGCGGAGCACCGTGGTACCTCCTGCTGTTCGGCCACTGCCCGAGGACGAAGACCGAGCGCGCGCACCCTCGCTGGCTGCAGTTGAGAGGCTCCCAGCCTTTGGCCAGGCTGGAGCTTCCAACACCCTTGGCAAACCACCGCCGCAACTGCGAGACGAAGATGCCACTGCGAACATCAGCGTGCGTGCCGTCTGCCAAGAGCTTCATCTGCCACGCCTTCACGTCCATCGTGATGCACTGCTTGGCATACCACGGGGAGACCTCCAGTAGGTTGATGATCGTACCATTCGGCCTGACGATGCAATCGAGCGCCCTGGGGTCGTAGCCGATCCTCCTCAGGGACATGGCCACTGCGCCCAGCGGCCCGCGTACGTCTGCCCAGCAAGTAGTTGACCTCGCTGCCCACTCGAAAGCGGGCATGAGCTGCGCCAGCGGCACCCACTTCTCCCACACAGCGCGCGCCAGCGTGAAGCAGGGCGCCAGCGTAGCTGCGAAGAGAGGGTCGATGGTGGGAGAGCCCCCCACCAGCAAGCACGCCGTGAGCGACTTCCCATGGGGGTTCGGCTCAATGGCGTGCCGCACAATGCTACGCGCCTGCTGCAGCTCCGTATTGTTGAGCCCCGTGCAGTTGATCCCGTAGAAGAGACTGGGAGCCAGCCCAGTCGACACGATCTTAGCCGCTGTGGCCCTTCCTCTGCGTAGACCCAGGAGCCGTCGGATCCGAGGAAGGCGGAGTCTGTTCTGCGTGATGCGGTGCCGCCTGACGACGCTGGACCGCCTGCCGCCCTCAGTGTAGTCGATGCCGAGGTTGCGCACTTCTCTGACACCGATGGCCCCAGTGGTCGAGCCCAGGTGCCTCTGGAGAGTGGCCCTAAGGCCTCTGCTGCTGGCCAGCACGCGCGGCTTCTTGGCGGCAATGGACAGGTGAACCTTCGCCAACCCCTTCGCCACTGCCTTCGCGGCCATAGTGTCACTCCACACAGGGTCTAACAAGATCCCGACCAAAAAAAAAGAAGACAGCCAACGCAAATTCCGAGAATGAGCGTGCGAACTGGAATGCGGCGGGCGCACGGGCAGGGCAAGCGCCCTCGCGAGGAGTGCAACCACACGCTCAAAACAAACGGGCCGCGCTCATCGAACTTTCTTAAGCGAGCGCCAACTATCGAGCACGTATGGTTTTTATCCACGTCGCAAGGGCAACAACTTGCCCGTGCTGGAGGAGTTTCCAAATACAACGGGGCAGCGCAATGTCTGGCGACGTCGCGCCACTTCGAGATAACGGTTCCAGTTTCGGCCGTTCGCGCCTCCCTTGTTCGAGCCTTGTGCCCGCGGTGCGGAGAAATGCATGTCGAGGAGGCCGCCGCCGCGCCCAGCGGCGCCTCGGCGCTCGCAAAAAGAAATGCGGAGGCTGAGTTCCGACAGCTCCGCAATCGCACCCCGCGAGCGCACGAGCAAGCCTTCTCGAACGCGTTCTGACTCCGGCCCTTCCGCCGTGCGCCGCTGCGGCGCACAGCGACCCTCTATGTGTTGCTTCTGGGCACCTGAACAAAGATCGCACGTGGTGTTTCTGCCGCTGGGAGGACGTTTGGGGCGCCAGTTTCCCTTGCGCGATTATGGGATGACCTGGCCTGGCGTTTCAAATTCACGTCGCCACCCGCGCCGACGTCGCCACTCACATTATGCGACGCGGCGCTACTCTGCGCCAAACAATCCGTCATTGCGGATCGCACGCAACAAAAAAAGGAGGAGCAGGGGGAGGCAGCGGCAACGGCAAATCCCCCTCCGCCACCTCCCGCCCAGAGAGGCTCGCAAGCAAGTCCGTGCGGATCCGACGCTCGCTCCTCGCCAACACTCGCCCCAGGGGCGTCGCCAATGGCGGGTTGGCGAAACCGCGGACTGCACCCCCAAGCAGCCCTAATGAACCATTGCGGCCGTTCCACCCCCCACGCGCCCAAGAAACCACAGTGGACCAGGAGTGGGGGGGATCGAGTGCTCAATTGGGGCGTCTTGGAGGGCCCTCAAAATCCCCCGATGACCCCGGAGGCGGCCCAGAGCGCCAACCACGCATCCTCGAGACGGCCGCCGCTCGAGCGAAGACGCGGGTTCGTTTCGAAGGCCCCCCGAACCAGGATAATGCCTAGGGTGCCAACCGACCAACAAACAAGAACTATCACGATTAGCTCGTAATCAGGCCGGCAGCATACTGGCAATGTGTGTCATGGGTACGCTCGCTCACTGGCCCATGCAACTCCCCCATCATCTCCCTCCCACTCTCCACCCGATTCCTCCTCCTCCAACTCCTCCCCGCCCTCTTTCCACCCCTCCTCCTCCTCGTCCTCCCCGAAGCCGCTGCGCCTTGCCCCCCCCCCCCCCCCCACACACACTTATATGTTTGACACTGCGCGCGAACTTGCAGCCTCATGCTCTCCTCCTCCCCACCCTCCCCCATAGCCGCCCTCCTCCCTTCCCCCTTCCCCTCGTTCCCTCCGCCCTCTCCCTCCGCCCCCTGCCCGAGTCCAGGGCCACTGCGGACTCGCATCACCAATCGCGCGGGGTCGGCTCGTCCGCCCACCAGCCTGGGCTGACCGACTGAATCGTCGGAACATCGGCAACGCTCGCGAAAGGGCATTCTGGGCCAGATATCGGCATGCAGTCGCTCATGATATATTCTCAAACAAAATAACGCACGTGAGAACCTCGCGCGGGAGTGGAGGTGGGAGACCCGCGCGCGGCCAAGGGAAAGAGGGGAGTAGTATCCATTACGGGCACTCCTAAAACGGAAGGACTGTGATGGGCGCCACGGCGAGAACGCAATTCCGAGCGATTGGAGACGGCACCACACCTCAAAGGCGCCCCCTGGGGGGCGCCGGACAAGCCTGGCCACTCAGGGAAGGAGACACGTGCTACATTTTCCGTTGGATTGCGCATCGCCCTGCTCGCCGCCAAGAGCCAGCGCCCGAAGTGCCCCACCTCGAGCACGCAGCGGCCCCCAGAACATTGCCCCGAGCCAGCAGCTCGCATCATCTGAACTGCAGCGAACCGCCCCTATCGCCGCCCAGAGAGCCCAGGGTGCTTTTGCCCAAGCACTTCGACCCTACCCGAAAAGACGCCGACACAACTGCCCGCCTCACTTGAAGAGAGCGTCCAACTTCCTCTTCTTGCTGCCCTGCTTCTCCTTCTCCAAGGCCGCCTTCTTCGCGGAGGAGCCCTTCTGCTTCGCCGCGGGCGCGGCTGGAGCGGCAACGCCAACGACCTCGGACAGCCACTTATCCGCGATCGTCTTCTGGGCACTGTCGAGCAGCCACGTGTACTTACGGAGTGGCCCCAAGTCGTCGTAGTCGAGCGCCGTGCCAGACTCCTTCTTCGCAGTGGCCGCCTCGATGAGCTTATTCATCGCTTCCTTGCCCACCAAGACACGCTCCGCGTCGGCGGCCCCAGAAGCAGCTGCGAACCGACATAGTGCGCCCATGGCCTCCTTGACCCTGGCCATGCCCTCCGCATTCGAATTTGGCCATACCGGGGCCCTGCCGCCAGCCAGCGCACGGGCCACCTTCAGCACCTCAGTCACGAAAGTGTGGGACCCGGTACCGGCGAACTCGTAGAGCTTGGTCTTCTCGAAGTTCTCCAAGGCCGCCACCACCTCTTTGGCCTTGATATCGCGCTGAACACTCGGACACGCAGCGACGACCGTGTCCTCCACGCGTTTCTTCCCCGCCTCGCCCACGACGCTCATCCAGAAGTCCCGGTCGACGTGCCAGTACTTGTACAGCTTGGACAACTGTTTGTGCTTCTTCACGAGCATGGCCTTGATGTCAGCACCAAATCCCCCCTTGCAGAACTCCAGCGCCGCCTTGCGGGCAGTCCCAGCGGCCTTCAGCAAACCCGCATCGACGCCCTTGTTCTCGACCTCGTCGCCCACGGGCGCAATCTCGGCCTCGCACCGCAGGGGCTTGATGAGCCCCAGCCGCACGCCCCTGGTTGTCGCGATGCCCATGATGATCGACATGGCTTCGTCGTACAAGGAATAGACCTTCGTGGTGGCCTCCAGGTACCGGTACTTGTAAACGACATTCTCGGTCGTGCTCGCGGTCTCGTTGATGTCCTTGCCACGCGCAGTCGCGTAGTCCTTGATCCGCTTGATCGTCTTGTCGATTGCCTGCTGGATGATCTTCTCCTTCTCGAGCTCCTCGATGGCGGCCCTGATCTCCCTGCGAATGGCAACGCCGCAGAGTCCAGCGAGCTTCTTGGAGAAGATGCGATTGCCACAGTGAGACTGGCACGCGCGCTCCAACTCATCCTGCACATCCGACCAGCTCGTCTTGTTATGGATGCACTTCTCGATCGCCAGGGCGTCCGCCACGATGGGCAAGTAGGGGGCATGCGTCTCCAACCAGAGACCCTGGGAAAGCCCCGAATTCTTCATCAACGCGAAGTTTTTCTCCAACGCCTTGTCCATGTGCTCCTTCACCACATTCCACAGCTTCGCGTAGGTGATGTGAAGCCTTGTGTCGTTGATGTACGCCGTCGCTGCAATGAGGAAGTCGGACCCCTTCTCGGTGGAGACCGGCACGTCCAAGAACGCGGAAAACATCGCCTTCGCATTCTTCTGGTTGGGTGGCACATGGCGCTGCTCGAAGATTGCCTCGAACCCTGACGTGTCCATGCGAGCGCTGTATAGGCGGTCCAATGCCTCATAAATCAGGGCGTCCTGTGGCTGAGATGGGTCGTCCACGGTCATCATTTTTTTCTCCTCGGTGTCCTCTTTGAACTCGTTCCGGAGATCCTCATAGAAATACTTCCCAATCGGCTCCCCGGTCTCATGTTGAGTTGCTTTCGCCTGGGAAGGGGCCCGCTGGAATCGGGAGGCCCCCCGCCCGCACCCCTTCCCCCCTACACCCCCCTCCCGCCCACGTCTTCTTCACCATGCCGCCCAAGAGGCAGAAAGGGCAGCTGGGTGGAGGTGCGCCCGGGTGAAGGGCATGGAAAGAAACATGTCAGCGAGAGGGTGGAGCGAAAAGGGGAAAGGGCGTGGGGTCGGGGCCTCCCGATTCCAGCGGGCCAACATTCTTTGTCACCCTCTGGCGGATCGTCTCTCCATCGCGCTCGATGAGGTCAAGATCCTTGAGGTCCCATCCTTTCTTCACGAAGTTGTCCTGCAGCGCTTTTTTCACAGCTGCCTCGAAGGTGCGGGCGGGCTTCTTATCTTTGGTGGAAGATTTGGCGTCGGCGTCCTCTTTCTCCAACAATGTGATATCGTCGGCAGGCCTCTTGGCAGGCGTTGCCGCCGCTGTCGGCTGGGCGCCCTGCGTCGCTTTCTGGACCTTCGACTCTGGAGCATTAACAGCAGACATCTCGAGGCAAATTGGCGGGCCACCCCCTTTGGCCAGCTGGGCAGCACCCTTCCTAGGTCGGACCCAAATCGGCTGCGGACTGCTGTGACCAACTGCTGGCCCAACACAATTCTTGTGCAAGTATGCCGCGCACACTCGTCGACGCCATTTACCCGATCTCCTGGGCCAGCGCCACACGTGTCCAACCAACCAGCCATCCAACCAGATGCAATCAAGGCTGCCGCAGCAGCATCCTGCCAACGAGCCCACCGACGAGGCAGGCAGCCCAACCAGCGCAACATTATTTCCTCGAGCCCACCAACCAGCCATCCAACCAGGCAGGGAGCGAAGGAACTTAAAGAACCAGCACGCTGGGAAGCCGCACGTCGCATGGCCCAGACCATTTTTTACGCACTCGGTTATACTCACGAGTGATCATACACACACGGCTCGTCATCCGCAAGGCTTGGAATAAACAAGATTCCCTCAACAGTGCTTGCACTTAGGGGTACTCCCGTTTCTCTCTCAGGGGCGGGGTGGGCCGGCCGAAACTCCACCACGTGAGCGCCTTGTGGCGCTGGGCCAGCATTTTTTCCTAGGGCCCGCGCCGAGGACATGTTACTCAAGACTGGCATGTATTCCTAGGGCGCGCGCCGAGGAAATGTTACTAAGACCACCTTTCAGCAGCAGGGCCCAAGAGGGCCCAACGAGGGCCGCAAGAGGCCCCCAGAGGGCCCCAATATGGCTCCCAGAGGGGCCCAAGATGGCTCCAAGATGGTCCTAGCAAGTATCAGTTCCAACTCCGTCAGACGGAGTTTGACAAGGGTCTCGCTGAGCCCCTCCTGGACGCTTCTTAGGACCCTCAGAGTGCTCCCGCAGGGCCCCGAGAGGGCCCAGGAGGGCCCCAAGATGGCCCTAAGATGGCTCCAAGAGGGCACCCAAAATCCCAGAAAAATCCCAGACACCGTCCTAATCAAGTCTGGGATTTTTCGTGGATTTTGGGAGGGCCCTTGGGGGCTTCTTAGGGCCCTCAGAGAGCTCCCGCAGGGCCCCAAGAGGGCCCCAAGAGTGCAGCAAGAGGCACCAAGAGGGCCCCACTATGGCTCCAAGAGGGCCCCAAGATGGCTCCAAGATGGTCCTAGCAAGTATCAGTTCCAACTCCGTCAGACGGAGTTTGACAAGGGTCTCACTGAGCCCCTCCTGGACGCTTCTTAGGGCCCTCAGAGAGCTCCCGCAGGGCCCCGAGAAGGCCCAGGATGGCCCCAAGAGGGCCCTAAGATGGCTCCAAGAGGGCCCCAAAATGGCTGCAAGATGGTACTAGTAAGTATTTGTTCAAACTCCGTCAGACGGAGTTTGACAGGGGTCTCATTGAGCCCCTCCTGGAGGCTTCTTAGGCCCCTCAGAATGCTCCCGCAGGGCCCCGAGAGGGCCCAGGAGGGCCCCAAGATGGCCCTAAGATGGCTCCAAGAGGGCACCCAAAATCCCAGAAAAATCCCAGACACCGTCCTAATCAAGTCTGGGATTTTTCTGGGATTTTGGGAGGGCCCTTGGGGGCTTCTTAGGGCCCTCAGAGAGCTCCCGCAGGGCCCCAAGAGGGCCCCAAGAGTGCAGCAAGAGGCCCCAAGAGGGCCCCAATATGGCTCCAAGAGGGCCCCAAGATGGCTCCAAGATGGTCCTAGCAAGTATCAGTTCCAACTCCGTCAGACGGAGTTTGACAAGGGTCTCACTGAGCCCGTTGTCAAAGGCGCTCCGGAGCCGCCTCCGGGTGACCCGGAGGCGCCCCAGAGCCGCCTCCGGGTGACCCGGAGACGGTCCGAAGCCGCCTCCGGGTGACCCGGAGGCGCCCCAGAGCCGCCTCCGGGTGACCCGGAGGCGCCCCAGAGCCGCCTCCGGGTGACCCAGAGGCGCTCCGAAGCCGCCTCCGGGTGACCCGGAGGCGCCCCAGAGCCGCCTCCGGGTGACCCGGAGACGGTGCAGACCCGTGTTCGGGAGGGCCTCGGGAGGGGCTCATTCGGGACTTCACGAGGGAGCAGATTGCACAGCACCCCTGGCTGGATGGAAAAAAACACCCTCGCCCTATCCAAAGAGGGGGGGGGGAATTCGTTACGTTTCTCCCTTCCCTTCCCCGTCCCTGTTTGTGCAAGTGACCTCTATGGTGACTGCCTTCGCTTTCCTGGCACCGTGGTCCAGACTCCTCCCAACACTCGACCCCAGGCAGTCACCGCGAGGACGGGCTGGCATCCCCCAGAGAAGGACCCGAGGGGTGCGCCAAGTTCCCCTGCCCTCGAATGCCTCCTCCGCCTCCTGCTCCTCCCCTCCCCTCTCCGCCCTCGTCTTCCACCTCCTCCTCCACCTCCTCCTCCTCCTCCTCCCTCTCCAGGACACATGGTTGGACAGGCGGGTCAAAGTCAGAATGCGAAAACCCGGATGCCGCCACACACGCCCTTGCCTCTCCCCGAATGTCCTTCAATCAGCTTTTCGACGTGGCCCTGGCGTCTCCTGCGCCAGGGAACAATGTCCTGACGACGTCGCCGAACCAACGGGTGACCGACCAATTTCCCAAGCGAAGCCCGACCAATTTCCAGACCAATTTCCAGACCACGAGCCCGACCAATAACTTGGGCCGCGGGGACCACGAAGATGACCAAGAAAGCCAGGTCGAGCAAACAAGAAAGAGAACTTGAAGGGACAATCTTTGCAACAAAAATCTGAGCAGGCATCCGGCTCGACAGGGGTCGCTGGAAAAATTGGTCTGCGAAATTGTGGTGGATTTTCAACACCCTCGGAACCTATGTATGCAGCCTCGGCCGAAGACAGTGCGTGCTGGCACCAGGTATGTGCAACCTTTGGAGCTCCTCGGTGGGGCTCCACCTTGGGGCCCCAAGCCTACGGAGGCTCCAAGAGCGGACCCAAGGAGCCGCAACAGGTGCCCAAGGGCCCACAAGGGGCCCCAAGGGGCGGCCAAGAGCGCCGCAAGAGAGCCCCAAGGGGGCCCCAGGAGGGAACAATAGGTCCCCAAACCAAGCGTGTGCAAGCGCACGTTCGCACACGCTTGGATTCGAAGCCGCCCGGGCCCAACATGGGGGCCCAAGGAGCCTCCAGAAGGGGCCCAAGGGGCCCACAAGAGAGCCACAAGAGGGCACCAGAGCCCCCCAAAAAGAGGCACACACGAGCACATACTTTGTGCCTCTTCTGGGGGCCCTCAATAAATGCTCTTGAGGCCTCCTTGGGGCCACCAGAGGGGCCCCAGGAGCCCCCCAGAGGGCCCCGGAAAGCCCATGAAAGCGCCGCGAGGGCCCGCGAGCGCCGCCGAGAGCACGCGAGGGCCCGCCAAGGCCCCGAGAAAGCGCAACAGGCCCCCGAAGGGCTGCCAAGATGGCCCCCAACGACATCATACCAGGGTCTTTTGGTATGATATCGCTGGGCTATTGGTGTGATCTCGCTGGGGGCCGTTTCGGCCCTCTTGGGGACCCTTGCTCAGAGCCTTTTGGAACTCTCTTGGGGTTGTTTGGGACCCTTCCGAGCGGTCTGTGGGGTCAGCGGAGGGCGTAGCCGACAGTGTATGGTGCAAGCTATGGGCTGGGCCATGGGTTGCGCCATAGGTTGGGCGACTGGGGCGCCATAGGTTGTGCCATAGGGGCTGCCACGTGGCGAAACCCCGGCCGACCCACAGAACTGGCTGCGCCATGGTTGCGCCATAGATTGCGCCACAGCTTGCGTGACAGGTTCCGCCAGAGGACCACCCGCGCGGCGAAACTTCGTCTGACCCACCTCGCTGTCTGCGCCATAGATAGCGCCATTGGGGCGCTCGCGAGGCGAAACCTCGGCCAAGCCACCCAGCTCCTCAGAGAAACAATAAGAACATTGCAACACCGCGTGGAAAACGATCCACTCCTCTTCGACCCCGCCCCCTCTCCCCCATGTCGTCCCCTTGCCTCCTCCGTCGGCTGCCCCTGCCCCACTGCGAGCTGGCAGCTGTCCTCGGGGCGCGCGCTTGCCAACGCAACGGACGCTGCTGTGCGGAGGGCCCCTGCATACTCAGCCCCGCCACCCCTTTCAACGGTCGTCCTCGCGACCGCCGGTTTTCGTCCCCAGCTGCCCTCGCGCCCCGAAGGCGTGTTCAAGTCTAAACCCTTAGGCGGCCAGCCTCAGCTGACTGGCCGCGCGCGGATGCCCCGTGCCAGGGGCGCCTTAGTCCCGAGGCGGCCCCGGGCTCAAAGCTCGCAGCTCGTCGAACCGCACCCTCTGCGCCGGAGTGGCAAGGCCGTACGCCCTCGTGAAAGCGGCGTCCTCAGGGAACGCATTCACAAAGGCGACGTTGAAGACGTAGTTGCCCCGCCCATGCGCAGACCAGTCGTCGAAGAAATATGTCATCTTGGCGACCCAATAGCCCGCCAGCGCGCGAGCGAATTCATCCCCGAACTTCGCCAGCGAGAAAGTGCACGACTGCGCGAAGCCGTACTTCCGCAGCATCTCCCTCCCAAGCGGGGTCTTGAAGGTCGCCCTGAAGGAATCGAACGCAACGCCCACGTGCTCCGCGGTCCACGCGCCCCCCCTCACAACCCAGTGGAAGTGCGCTTCAGCCTCTGCTGCCGCTTTACCTTCGGCCTTGCGCTTCTCCTCAAGCTCCTCGAGCACCTTGTCCATGTCGATCTCGTCCAAATCACCGTCAGCCTCGTCCACGCCATCGCTGTCGCTGCTGGCATCGCCGCCGCCCGAGCCGCCACCCTCTCCCGGTCGCCCTTCCCCAGCCCTGGCAGACCCGGCGCCTCTCGTGGACCAGATGTCCAACAGCCATGGGTACTGCTTCAGCAGGTCTTCAGAGAAGTGGGATTTCGGCGGCATGCGTGGGCGAGAGGCGCGATCGGCGCCAGGGCTTCCGCGCGGGAACATATCCAGGTAATCGCCCAGGCCCACCCAGGTGGCGTCAGAGACGAGCCGCCCCCCTACGGATAATATAGCATCACTGAGGACCTCTATCTGGATGTCCTCGCCAGCGTACTCGTCGCAAGACGAAAACGAATACATCATGGGCAATTCTTCGAACTGGTGGTTCCACTCGTCGTCGTCCTCGCCCCAGGGGCCAGCCTCCGCGTACATCTCGCCAGCCGGCTCCACGTCGATGAAAGCGCAAACCAATGGGTTCTGGAGGGCCCACAGGAACTTCAGGTAGCAGGTGAAGCCGTCTTCGTAGGTCAGCTTCAATACGCAGTCGGTGAATGCATCCCGATGCCTGCACAGCTGCTGAGCCCAGGGGGGACTCGCCAACGAACGAGAGGAGGAAGGCTCGGTGTACGTGGCGAGCTGGGCCAACTCCTCTTGCCCTAGCGGCTCCAAGGGCTCCAGGAGCGCGCCGAGGACATTAGTGACCTCGCGGTTGGAGTACCGTGGATCTCCCCACATGTCGTCGAACTGCTGGAGCTCGCTTGGGGTCAAGCGGCACCTTGTGAGCGTCACTGGGCCGGCGTATGCTTTCGCGATCTCCTCTTGTACCAGTCTGCGTTTTTTCACTGCCTGCTCGATCTCGCCATTCAGCTCCCGCCAGGCCTCCGCCCGTCTTTCGACTGCTTGAGCTCTCCACTTCTCCCGCTTCTCGTCCGTCAGTCGGTTCCACCACTCGCCATGCTTCCCCACACAGTGTGGCACCGCATCGTTCGGCACGCGAATGCCGGCAGCTTTCTTCCGCTGGAGGGCGGACACCATGTTGCTGAAGTAGACCTGCTTACCCCCAATCTTCTCCGGATTCCTCTTCTCCAGGCGGACGAGCTTAGCATTCGCAGCGCCCAAGCTCTTCTGGAGGGGCGGCGTGGCGAACAGCGTCCGGCACTGTCCGACATGGGCTCGTGATATCAGGGTCATTTCCTCGTGGCGCTTATGGAACTGCAAGAGGCGACTCCCTTGGACGTGGCCTTCCTCCACCCGCTTGGAAGAATGACCAAGCTTTGACAGCAGCTGGACACCCTCTTCCAGCATCTCAGAGGGGGCCCCGAGCCGCATCAAGTCCCATATCTTCGCCGAGCAACCCTCGTCGTGGTCTGGCCGGGGACCGGCGGCGAGCTCCGCCAGATTAGCCTTGATGCCCCCTGTGCACAGAGACCATGGGAGCGCACGTGCGTCCGACAGCCTCCAAATCAAGTAACTCGCCTGCACGTGCCCCGCAAGTATAGACCGATGGCGCAATCGCCGCGCGGGCACGCCCACGGTGGCCGATAGCGTTTCCCACACACTTGGCGATATCATCTTGAGGGAGTCGAGGGCATCCTCCACGTCGCCCCGAACCTGCTCGATAATGGACGGCACGCGGTCGTCCCTGAAGAAGAGCACCAGGGGCCTCTCCGACACGGGGGACGCGACGCCAGCAGCGCACAAAAAGGCCTTGACGTCAGAGGTGGGCTCAAAGTTGCCAAGGTTGTAGGTAGGCTGGCCCTTCACGGTGAGGCAGTACTCGACCAGAGCCCCGATGCCAACGATCAGACAAGCCATCAATCTTCTCGCCTGGCCCCCGATGGACAACCACCGGCTCTCCGACCACGCCCGGAACTGCCAGAGACGGAGCTGGCACTTGACCACCCTGCGGATGACGCGGGCGTCCCCGCGGCACTTCGCAGCGACGCACACGTTCGTGCCCTCGGCCCTGAGTTGAAGGTCGACGAGGTCGGCAACCCACTCGGGCTTCACGCCGAGCACGTTCCAGAGCTCGACTTGTTCAACCTCGCTGAGCCCCCAATCCTCCAGGAGCCAAGTCGTGCATGCGCCGACAAGGAGACCGACATCCTGGAAAGAACACCCACCCGAGCCCTCGAAGCGCGGGTGGATTGACTTACCAGGGGCGGCCCCCCTCTCCCCTGGCCCACCCCCAAAATGACCCTCAATCACGTCGCACGCCAGGGGGGTCTAAACAGGAGGGGTCTCGACAGGTGGACGTTCAATATGACCCTGGGTGCCTAATGCATGACCCCAACTAACCCCAAATGGGGTCCAAAATATCCCCAGAGGGCCCGACTCGGTCAAAGGAGGCGGAAGCCTTACTCAAAAAAACAACGCGACGGCCTCAAATGGCGAACGGTGTGCGCGGCGCCTGCCAAGGATGCCCCCTCGGGGCCAACGCCTGCAACGAAGCGCATGTCCCTCGAGTGCTGTCTTATCCCAGTGTCAATCCGAGCGGACCGCGGGAGCCGGGGAACATCGCAATGATGACCCAATCAGCGCAGCCCCTGAAGGGCGCCGACGACGGGCACGCGGAGTCCCACTGAGCCCTGAAGAGCACCAGAAGCACCTCCGAAGACGGGCCCAGCTAACTTTTGCGAAGGCCCCAAAGGCATTGGGATCGAACGCACCGCCCCGCCCTGGCTGCCGACTGCCTCCGAGATGGCGGCATAGGGTCCCGAGGGGCTTGTTTTGGGCGGCCCTGGCACGTCCCCAGGGGGGCCCTGGCAGCTGTCACAGGGGGGCCCCAAACAGCCCCGTGGCGGCCCCAAGAAATCCCCAAAAACTAACAGCGGCCAACGAGATTGCACTTGTGGAGTCGGTTCGGGCTGAGCCCAGCATCGGCCTGACAAGCCCCCCATTCACTTCGCCGCTGCTCCTCCGTACCCCTGGTGGCGACTGTTCGCCTGCATGCGAAATCAATTCTGGATGGGCAGGCGGGGACTCGCGAAGCGTCGATATGTCCAAGGCGCCCGAAGCCCGTAGGTCATTCCACGGTGCGCCGACGGCACTTCCAACAACGCCACTACGATGCGCAGAGGTTTGCATGCGCGGCTGGCCACATAAACGAATGCGCACACGTAATACGGATCACAAGCATGATTAATCACATACACCATTTGTCACGCACACGATTTGTGACATACTATGTCGGTCATATACACACTGGTCACACACACACAAGACTGGCCATATACGGGGCCTGCCACACACGTGGCTGCTAATATACAAGACCAGGGACGAGCACGATCCGTCAAGGACGCGGCTGGTCCTGTACAGTACTGCATGTTTACAATCGGCCAAGTATGACCGAGCCTCGAAGGCCCCAGACATGTGGCGGACACCGGATCAGCGTAGCGTCTCGCGGCCATGGCACAACCCCATATCGAGCCCCCATTGATGCGTCAGCCGCGCCTCTACGAGAGCCTTCTGGGGAGACCGACTCGATGCGAATCGGCCAGCACGCCGACGGGAAAACCTCGGCATGGACAGGGAAACATAATTCATCTGGCTCCAAAGTCCTGGTAAACGATGTTGGAGCCCACCCAATCGTACACGTTGTCGGCAAGCAACGAGAACCCTCCCCGCAGAGACGCAAACTGCTTGTACACGCTTTTCATAAATAGTTTGTCGTCCATCTCGCCACAAAAGGCGCGATGCAGAGAACCATGGCAATCGTGATCGCAGCAGCCGTTCCCGACCACCCACGACATCAATCGAAGCATGCGGCCACCTCCTTCATCCATGTCGGCAACGCGCTCCTATGGTACAATGGCATCTGCATCGCCAGAACGTGTCCCCTCGCCCCGCCCCCAACCCCCGTTTTCTCACCGATGCCCCCCGCAGTTTCCCCTGCCCGCTCGGCGCCCCCCGCCCCCGCCTCTATTGTTTTCTCAAACTTGGAAATGGTTAAGAAGCCCAAGGCTTGGAGCCGTGAGTAACGATTGCGTCGGGCGCGCACTGGCATCCATGTCCCCCTGCGGGGGGAAGGGGGGCACCAATCCCAGGGGGGCAGGGGGTTTTGATCAAGTTGGTGCGAGAACGGCCGGCAACTGCGAGGGGGCGGTGACAGCGGGCAGGGGAGTGCGAAATAGGGGAGGGGAAGGGGAGGAACGTGGCACGGGGATCTGGCCGAGGTCACTGCCATCCCCCAAGAGGAATTGGCGGCTTATTCCCCGGGGCCTCAACAGCACGCTGGTGGCTCTGATGGAAGAGCCTCCAAGCAGCAGAGAAGATCCCGCGGTCCCACACGCCGTGGCTGATATTCACGGCGGTGGCGCCCATGCTCATTGGGAAGGGGCTGAGGGACCTCAAGCCGGCCAGGTGCGTGGCCGCGCTCTTGTCGGCCATCTTGCGAGGGGGCATGAATACCACGGCGGGGTCGCAGAACAACCCGATGCCCCAGACCCGCTGGATTAGAAACTCCGCTGATAAGCCGCCCTGCCTAACCACCGGTTTCTCGCCCTCGTCGTGAATCTTGTGCCGCTTCCGCAAGGACATCGGCGTGGGGTCATTGCAGAATGAGAACGCGATGGGGTCCGATATGTTTGCGGCTGCGAATTGGCGCCACCTGTCCCGTAGGAAATCGACGGCCATCACCGCCAATTTGCACGCATGCCTCCTCTCGGTGAAATCAAGAACGTGGCCCGGCCGAGCAAGATCCAACAGCAATTCGTTGGGCTGCTTGGATTCGGTAGACTCCTCCCCTGCTACGCTCGAATCCATCTTGAACCAGAACGGCTACAATTCAAAACAATAGGGACCTTTTGATCATGACCCGCGCTCGGCTACGCAGGCCGATCGACGCGTCCAACGAGATCCGCTGCCATCCATGCAGGACGGCCCCTGAGCGTGCGGGGTATGACCACAACTTTCACAAGGTAGGTCGCTCTTCCGACTGTTTTCACACGCCGAGGCGCCCAACCATTTCGTGGCAGGCCCGCCGCCGATGTCACGGTTCCCACTGGAATTTTCAATCCTAAGCACGGTGCCAATAGTTGCGTCGTTTGCACATCCTACACGCTGTGATAAAACTTTGTTGTTTCTAACGTACGCTACTGAAAAACGACGCCTGTACTCGCCAGAAAATTGGCAGTGTGATTGGTTGTTAGGCTGGTGCTGAGTGACATAGCGAGGTCCTTGGCTACTCGCTTCAGGCCACCCCAGCGCTGCAGCACCACGTCGTCGACCACGACAGCAGGTACCACCGTGGGGCAGGCCGCCTTCATCTCGTCGAGCGGCGTCAGAAGCATGACCTTCATGAACGTGGTGGCAAACGCATCCCCAGCCAACACCGTCTGCGTAACCACAAGCTCGTCAGAGCAGCACGACTCCAGGCTGATGACCCTGGGAAGCCGATAGAGGGAGATCTGCAGCTTGGCCAGCCACAACGGGAAATTGTGCTGCCTGCACGCCTTCTGCAGGTTGCCGTGCAGGATCTGCTCGAAAGCCTTCCACAGGTCCATCATGACAGACGCCGAGGCCCAGTCCTGGCCTCTGTTCAGCTCGCCCATCATCTGGACCCATTCTGCCCGCGCCTGCTGCTGCCACACAGCCCTGTCGCAGCTCTTGCCTGAGCTGGCCCACCAGTAGTCTCTGTCGTGCGCCGCCTCCCAGTCCTTCGCGATGCGCCTGCGGAGCCTGCCGTGTATGCGTACCACCGCCCCCAGTAGCGCAATTGGGCGGAGCCCCCCGTCCGACTTGGGGATGAAGGCCATCTTGGTGATGAACGCGGGCCAGTCGCACTGCAGCTCGATGGCGACCAGCAGGTCGATGAGCGCCTCGATCCCAGCGTCGTCGAGCACGCCCAGCTCGTGCGGCCGCAGCGCGTCGAACGATGAGCCGCTGGAGTCCCTGAAGGTGGCGATGACCTCCCTGATCTCGCTCACCGTCGGTCGGGCAGGTCGCTCACCGAGATCGCGTGGCCACTCGAGCGGCCCCAGCGCGAGCTCACTCCCCAGCGGCGTGGGGGCCCCTACTCCCCAGTACCCTGACCACTCCTTCACCAGGGCTTGGGCTGTCTGGGAAAGCGTACGAGGCTCGCTCCCTGGGCCGCCAGTGATCCTGGCTTGCCAGCCCTGCGGAGGTTTGGTCCAGGAGTGGAGGGCCCCCGTACCTCGAGCGTGGTTCTCGGCGACCCAGTCCGCGAAGCAGGCCTTCGCCTTGTCCGCGTCCCGCTGCACCAGCTTGTCCGCCATGGTGGCGGCGATGAAGCTCGCTACCTGCAGCTGGGGCAGATCCATGGACTGCGCCGCCTGCGCAAAGCCCAGCAAGGTGATGTGGGCCTGCGTCGTCTCCTGCCTGGTGTCGGACTCGAAGTCAGGCTGCGCGCTGCACAAGCGATCGAGCGCCTTCAGCGCCGTGTGCCTCTTCAGCTCGAGGTCAGTCTGAGCGGCATCCTTGAGCGCGATGGCCACGCTCTTGCACCACGGCGTGGTGATGGCCACCCTTGGCAGCCTGGGCGTCGTTGGTTTCAGCACTTTGACCAGTGCCAACCAAGGGCGCCGCTCTCGTCCAGCGAACTCGTAGTACGCGTGCTTGAGGCCAATGGCATCCAGCAAGTACCGCTCCGCGCAATGGATGAAGATCTGCCGCATGCCGTCCAGCGAGGGTGACACCGCCATACGGCCGCGCGCCTCCGCCCACCTCTGGGAGTGGTCCTCGGTGCAGCACGCCTTGGGTAAAGGGTACGGGAACTTCTTCGGCACCTTCATGACCTGCATGTACCTGTTGACAGAGCTGGCGTTGAACTTGAGCTCAACAGGGAAGTGGGGCGCAATATCCCATCCAAGCTTGATCTCTGCATGTGCTTCGGAGATCACGTGAGAGATGACGAAGTAGTCAATCACTCTGCCAGACGGCCTGATGGTGCCGTCCGTTGGTGATACCACTCTGCCTCCGACGCGCTCAAGGAAGCCTGAGCACTGCAGCTCGTGAGGCTCCATATTGAAGTCCCCCGCGATCACGAAGGGCTTGCCGATGGCCCGAATCGCCATCGCGATGCCGTCGAGGACGCCGAGGTTGTAGGCCGAGAGGCCTTCGCCAACCTTCAAGTAGACGTTGATCCATGCCAGGCCCCCAGGAAAGGGGCCCGCCACGTGCGCGACTGCCGCGCGGCCTGGCGTGAGCACAGTCGGCTGCCCCGCCTCGAACTCGCCAAGGCCCGAAGACCTCGGAGCCAACTGCAGGAGACCACCGTGCCCTGCGTGTCCCGCAAAGACGTCGGTAGCAGGGGTGGCCACCGCATGCCATCCCAGCCTCTGCAGCTTGTCGGTGACCTCGTAGCACCTCTCCTGGGACAGGTGCGTCTCCTGGACTGCGATGAGGTCGCAGCTCCTGAGACTCTCGTAACCGAGGATGCTCTCGAACCTGCTATCAGCGTCGCCCGCTAGGGTAGCTACCCTGAGGTCCGCGGCTTCTTGACAGAACGCAGGACCTCCAGGGCATCGCGGATCCTCTTGCGCTGCTCGTCGTCGTCGCCGCAGCCGCCAAGAAGACCCCCTGGATCTTCTTCGCCCAGGAAGTCGTCGAAGTCGACGCCGCTCTCGGCAGGCGTCGCCCCCGCTGCTGGCGCCCCTGCGGCCCCTGCTCCGCCAGGCTGAGCTGCAGCTGGCTCGGGGCCAGGCGCTGCTCCACCTGCAGCAGCGGGCGCCCCTCCCTGCGGGCGAGCTGCCTTCGCCTCCTCAGCGAGCTCGTTGACCATCTTGGACAGCTGCTCGAGGAGGTCCTGGCCTGAGACCCTGTCGGTGTTGAGCGAGCCGAGCTTCTCCTTGATTGCATCAGGGCTGATGCCTCCGCCGTAGAGCGCGGCTGCCTCACGCTTGGCCTCCGCGAGCTCTTGCTGCAGCTGCGCGATGATCTCCTTGGAGGCGTGCACCTGCTCCAGCGCCTTGCGAGCCACCTCAGTTTCACGCTTAAGCCGATCCTGAGCGTCTGCAAGCTGTCGAGCCAGCCCGTCCACCTTCTGGGGCGCCGACTTCCCCACCAGGCCGAGAGCATGGGCACGGCGAGCAGCATCCACCTTACCCCGCGAGGACTGCGTGAGGGTGTGCTTAGTCGCGTCCCACGTCTCCTGCGTGAAGGTGGCCCAGACCTTGACCTCCTCCGCACTGAGGGTGGTGCCAGAGGAACTCTTGTCTCCGCCAGCACTCTTGCCCTTGAAGAGCTTGCCGTTGTGCCCCCACTGGTTGCTCGGCGGCGCGTCGGCCCACTTGCCCCGAGACGGAGGCTGACGGAGCTGCCACGGCTGGTGCCAGGGCTGCCCTGCTCCGCGAGGGAAGCGAGGTCGCATTCCTCCGCACCCCGCCTTCGAGCACCGAGTGCGGTCGGCGGCGTGGTACTCACCACAAACGCACTGCCACTGGGGTGCCATGGCCGAGACACGCTCAGTGTTATAAGTGCCAAAACGATGGGAGCCGCGTGCGCCGCTGAAGGTCGAGCTCGGGAAACAGAGCTATCCCGTGTTTGCCAGGAGGCTTGCAGCCCCCCAAGCATTGGGTCTTGAGCCAAAATGGCTACGGAGCGGATTAGAGCCACAGGAGAAGGGCAATCTATAGGAACACGCGTAAAACACCAAGGACTCGTGCCCCAGGAGAGGCCCAAAATATAGGAACATGAATAAAACATTTAGGATTGTGTACACAGGAGAAGGACCATCTATAGAAACATACGTAGAACATCAAAGAATCGTGCTCCAGGTGAGGCCCAATCGATAGGAGCATACGTAAAACACATGGGATTGGAGCCACTCCTGTTGCCTTCTGAGGCCTCCTGCTCCTGGGGCCTCTCGGGGCCTCCTGTTGCCTTCCGAGGCCTCCTGGCGCTTCCTGTTGCCTCCTGGGGCCTCCTGTGGTTTCCTGAGGCCTTCTGGAGCTTCCTGGGGCCTCCTGGAGCCTCTTGGGACATCCTGTGGCCTCTTGAGTCTTTCTGTGGCCTCCTGGGGCCTCCTGGAGCCTGTTGGAGCCTCCTGTGGCATCCTGAGAAGAATCTGCGCCCACGAGCCTGGCCACCAAAACAAGCAAACCGATCGAGACATCCTCAAAATCTGGCCCACCTGGGGGGTGAAAATGAGCGCCTCGCTCGAGACATCCTCCAAATCTGCTCCGAAAGCGAAGGATGTTGAGCCCAGAAACAAGCAAACCGCCTGAGACATCCCCACAAAATGGCCGCGAACGAGCCCGTGCAACCACCCCTGGCGGCTCCCCTTAGGGCCACGAGCCTGGCCACCAAAACAAGCAAACCGATCGAGACATCCTCAAAATCTGGCCCACCTGGGGGGTGAAAAT